AAACCTTAAATGTACTAACATTTACTAATTGAGAATAAATAGTATTAGACGAATTATGGGATCGGACATAGTTACGTTCAGAAAATAACAAAACATATCAGTTAAAAGTAGTTATTATTTATAGGTATTTTATTTTCTGTGATTGCAATAAAACTGTAAATAAAAAGAATGAGAAAATGGACTGAAATTTTTATTTATTGTCAATATACTGTTGCGCGTACCTAAAAACACGCCTTACATAGAGTGGTCTTGAGGTGTGTATAACAAATAAAACGAGTGATTTTAATGCATACAAAGATAAACTCCAACTCAAGTACGTATAATCTGTCATGCGACAAATTAAAAATTTCATGCATTGTTCAAGTCTACATACATTCCGCGTGTACAGTACAAAGATTAAGGCGATAAACATTTCTCATTTAAATAATAAGCAAACTCTGCCGCTATGACCGCGTTTTGCGCTAACGAAAGTCATTCGAATGAAAAAAAAAATGGTTCAACAATGCGTCGTAAAATAACAATCATGATTACAACATACGAGTAATTAATAACAAATAAATAAATACAGTATATTGTAGTAGTTTGTTTGCATAAACCGTTTTGAATGTATAGTAAATTTTATATAAATGATGATTGCATTAACTCGCAAATACATTCTACCATGTTAATTTATGATCAATCACCGACATCCGGGAACATTTATGATTAATTTTATTTTTAATACTATGCTCCGTACACAAAATGCACTTAAATGTGAATTTTTGTAGATAAATGAAAAATATCGAAATTTTCACGCCGCTGAAGTCATCGGCCGCTTAGTTTATTTCGTAAAGCGTTTGTTGTTTTTTATCAGAGGATAGCTAACAGGCATAGCAGGCGGTTCACCTGATGTTAAGTGATAACCACCGCCCATTGTCATTTGTTACAACCGCAGATGCGTTGCCACCTTTCCCGGCTACATAGCTCACCAGACGAAACGCAAAAGTATAACACTTCCACTTGACGGCGGTCTTCTGTTAGGTTATACTTACCCGGACGGACCTGCCCATTCATGCAATAACGATGAATGTTGTTGTTAGCCCCGAAAGTTTTCTATTTGTCTAAATATGTTACTAGGAATCCGGGAACATATTTAACTGAATAACAATTGGGATTGCATAGGTGTATTGACGTGTCAGTACTTTTGTAATTTGTGTACAAAGTACATTTATCCATGTGGTCTCTACGTACACTTGAGTACACACCCTAGAGACCACACTCTAGTACACACCCGAGAGACCATATGGATAAATGTATATTATACAGTGGACGGGCCAGGCAGCAGTCTCTGCTGTTTGCACGAATGGGTAGGCTCGCAGGAAAAATACCACGGCCTTATAGAAGACTGACGTGCGATATACTATTTAGTTTCATCTGTGAGATAGGCGGGGCCGAATTATTTTCAATGCTTGCATTCCAACTTCTCACATAAAAAATAAGGTTGCCTACTGCAACCTGCAACCTGCAACTGCTATGGTGTAATATCCATTGACGACAATTAATAAGAGGAGACCCGCCTTCTTATATGCGAATAGTTTTTGGTTATAGAGCTTTGATTTCAATTTTATATTGTCCTATAAAATATCTGTAATCAATGATTTTCTGTACACGTATAATATGTATGAAATAAATGTAGTTTATCATTATTTTTAAATAATAGAAAGAATACTGTATTTCATAATTTATCGGCAATTACCGGACCATAGAATTAATAACCCTGTTAAAACCACACCAAATCATCAGGCTGCAGCAAAGTATTTTGCATGCAATAAATACAAAACAAGTTTCTACTATTTATAAGCCAGAATTATCCTCATGGGTCATGGACCTTAATTGGCACGTTGATACAAAGTTTAAAGTAACCCTCAGTTGTGGTGAGATATGTTTGAAATAATTTTTACAGCAATTTTTATTATTTCAATTAATTATTATTATTCCATATATTATTTAATATAGGACAATGTAACTATGAACATTCGGGAAAAGTAGTTTTAGAAACATATCCATCTGAACAGTTTACGTTTAAATGTTACAAGGTCTTATCACGGAGTCGACCTCGCGATATGCAAAATTCTCCTTAAGTTTAATTCTCTACATAAATTATATATGAATTTATAAAAACAAACTTGAACATTAACCGAGGTACAAATAAGCTAACGCGGCATTAAAAAAATCGCATTAACACTCGCGAGATAGATTTCCCGGTATTAGGAAAATATTAATAATGAACAACAAGGTGCTTAACACCTTTATATAAACTATCTTGTAACGTACTAATTTTGTCAAACTTTTGTTGATTATGCTGACTATTGTATATGTAAAGAAGTAAGTTTTAAATCAGGGAAAATTTCGATTATGTCCGCCACGTCGCAGGAAAGGCCTTAGTCAACGAGCTACACGGTCTTCGAGCTGCCTTTCGGATGTACCTATCTATTATACGGTCTAATTGTTCTCACTGATCTCATGCTAACGCAAACGGGAACACCATGCAAACGCCGTTATCGAGCAGTCACGTTGTGAACCGGTTGGTGTATCTCTGCGTTCACCACCAGAATTACTATTTGGAAGGGCCGTTTGCTCTTTATAATGATCGTTCAAGGTCACAAGCTTATAAACTCTATGCAAATTGATTTGCGTTTTGGTACCAGTCAGCACCGAATAACAAATAAAAATACAGTATTAACATAAACAATTTAATATGCTAAATAATAGAGTTGCCAGCAGTTCTATCTTCAACATGAACTGAACAGCACCATTTACTATTACCGCATCTACTCTTCGCTGTATTTTTAGGGGGTTCGCATAATGTTAAGTGATAAACACCATCCAAGGACATCAACAATACGCGAGTTTTTTAGTTTGGAAACCTGTCGGCAGCCCAGATGGGTTACCCAACTACGGAAACTCGTTTTTCATTCTTTTTAATATTTGTTGTTATAGCGGCAACAGAAATACATCATCTGTGAAAATTTCAACTGTCTATCACGGTTATGAGTTCATGAGATATAGCATGGTGACAGACGGAGAGACAGACAGACGGAGAGATAGACAGACGGAGACAGACAGACGGAGAGACAGACAGACGGAGAGACAGACAGACGGAGAGACAGACAGACGGAGAGACAGACAGACGGAGAGACAGACAGACGGAGAGACAGACAGACGGAGAGACAGACAGACGGAGAGACAGACAGACAGAGAGACAGACAGACAGACAGACGGAGAGACAGACAGACAGACAGACGGAGAGACAGACAGACAGACAGACAGACAGACAGACAGACAGACAGACAGACAGACGGAGAGACAGACAGACAGACAGCGGAGTCTTACGTCCGGTTTCTGAAACACTGATCATCGTAGAAGTTAACTAATCAGCAGTCAAATGGCTTTTCAAACGTTATTTAAGTTAAGAGAAGACCAATAAATGTTATGGGTCACAGTCGTTGTTGGTATTCAAAATACAAAATACCCGGATAAGCCTGCCAATTCGTGCAACTGCAGAAGCCGCCTTATATCTCCTACTACCTAGAGCTCTAAAGGCAAATGGCAACTCATCTGTAACTCCACAGGTGTTGTAGATTTTCACGAGAAGCAGTAATCACTAAACAACTGCTGGTTTACCAATTGTTAAGTAATTACCGTTTAACGTGGTAGGGCCACGCAGAAGCCTCGGCTGTTGAACGAATGGGCAGGCTCGTCCGGGTAAGTACCACGACCTCAAAGAAGACCGGCGTAAAGTGGAAGTATAACACTTTCGCGTTTCATCTGGTGAGTGAGGTGGCCGGAGACCAATTTTCAAAAGGTTATCTACGCATCTGCAAACCCTCGATTGTAGCAGATGTCCATGGGCGGTGGTATTCATTTAACATCAGGTGAACCACCTGCTCGTTTGGCAACTTTTCACATAAAAAAAAATACTGGCCACACTCACACAAGACAAATAATATGTTGCCATTCAATCTTAACGATGCAGTGTGTACCGAGAATGAGGCAATTAACCCGAATCTGGGTTATCACCATTAAAAGTGGAACAAAAAATTTGTAATTTTTAATGATCTTCATTTCCTACTTTCAAAATATTAAAGAACAGGTGTACAAATTTGGAAAGATAATCAAAACAGCCTATATTAACAACTTTTGAAAAATCTAGAAGACTAACTCCACTGTATGGGAATATGACCTGTGAGTTTCAAAGATTTTCTTCTACATATGGATTCTTAGTATTTATGATATTTCTGTTCAAATAAAGCTTGGAAAAAGAATTTGTGAACATGTAGAAAGCTTAATGTAGATAATAATATAAAAAATAGAGTAATTTAAATTGAGATTAGATACACAACCTATCTTTAGTACTATGCCTACAATATGAGCTGTATAATATTTGCTAACACTAAGATGTTGAGAGAATCTCTTGAGATTAAATATGAAATGATGCAACAGGAAAACCCTATTTGGTAATTTTTGAGTTTTATTTGAGTATTTCCATTGTAATTTTATTATTGAGAAAATGTGAAAGAAAGAAATATATTTTTAAATTTAATTTATTTATTCTTATATTTTCAATAATTATGGATTTTAACAAACACGGGGTCATAACATACTGTTTTATTGTGCTCTGATTGAAGTCACAAGTTGCAATGTGGACTATCTCTTACAATATTAGGTGCATTTAGTTTCAAGAACATATATTTATGAGATTAAAGGTAATTTAATGCTACTTAAAGCAAATTAGGATTTTTTTCCGTAATGCTACATGTTGAGCATTAAAATAACTTAAATAAACAGATAAACATAGGGTATCTATTATCTGATAATAGGAATGAATTTTACAAATGGTAACTCTGAAGAAGTTTTGTAAATTTGCAGTATTTTATTTAAGTTTATGAAAAATTTACATAACAATATACCATATGGAATAAAACACTATAATTAAGTATAAAAACTTGGAATCAGGCTTATTTCTCCAATGGTGCATAATTCAGTAGTTTCTCAATTAGATCAACGTGTCCAAGCAGCATCCTACGGCAGCAATATCTCTTTAAACCAAGAGCATCTAGAGCATCACTGGAAATAACAGAAAAAACTTATTAATACCTACAGGTTTGAATTACTAAAAACGTGAGCATCCGAAATGATAAGCAACAATCTTTCAAATTACACACCATGACAAGTTAAAGACATGTAATTATTATAAATGCAATGTATTTATTGGCACATGCTTTATCTACTTATAAATATTGTGGTATTAAGATTTAATAGGTCATTACTTTATCATTTTCTCCACTGTTAACAATTGTTTAAGCATAAAACAAATTAAAGTATTTTCCTTAATGTTAAGCATGCATTTTTTATATAAACTGAAATTTTTTTTGTTTACACAATTTTATAAGTAATAGAAATGCTTGAAAACTCTTAGCTGGGCAGATCTTGACATTACTCCCTTGTGACCTTCCATATAAAGAAAGAATTATCAAGCTTTTTCTCCCTTTAATTTTGAGGTCAAATCAGGGTAGTGTTACAACATAAAGTTGCAATTAACCATTTGCTTAGCAATGTAAGACAATATTGAGAGGACAGTTGCAAGAAAGATATGTGAAGTTTACTAGTAGTAAGAACACTAGTGTAACATGGTAATATATAATATACCTATGTACAGAATAGTCCCAACTGTGGATTAATTTATAAGCCGATACTTAACATAAATATCTATAAAAGAGAAGTTAGTGAAAACTTAAGTACTTTTGTAAAAAGAGATGATATTAGTATCCATCTTAATGGTGGATTTTCTAGGAATTGCTAGATTCAATTTTTTTTTCTCAAAATCTAAATTTCGTTGCATACTTTCACAATTGTGATTTTGGATATATTTTTCTATCTATTAAAAATATATGTATAGGAAAATTTCATGGGTAAAAATTTCCTTTAGTTTCCGGGTCTTTACGAAGATACAAAAATTTTATTCGGTTAACAAAAATCACTAATGAAATAAGCAACAAGCAGAATTTGGCGGTCACTTATAATTTTCGAGAAAAAAAAATATTTAAAACTTATTTTCACTAAATAAATCCGCCATTTTGTGTTTGACAACATGTATAAATTTACGAATTCACACACTTTTCCAAATTATAACCGCATTATTAAAAAAAGAGTTTTAAAAATACTAAAAGTACTCTTACACTAAAGTTTTCTAGGTGGTTATAAAAAAATAACCACAAAAACTAAGCTGCGCTCCAGCCTTAATCTTCTAACCTAACCTATCCAAGTCGAATCGCTGTGTCTGACCTGTCACTCTTTAAATTAAAAGAAAATTAATCTTCGCCTACTATATAATATTTTTCATATATTTATCATGTTGGCAGTACTGTGTATTCAGTTTTTGAAGTCAAATTGGTAAAATGGTGAAGTTTCTTATTGAAAATTATGTTTTAATACTAAATAAATTATTTAATTTATTTTCTCAAAAACTATAAGCGACCGAAAAATTGTGCTCGGTGTTTTATTAATGATATTTCTTTACAGAATAATTTTTTTCTTTTCGTCGAAAAACACCCGGAAGGTAAAGGAAATTAATGCCCATGCTATTTCCAGTTATATCAAACGAAAGGTTGTAAGGTATTAAGATTATGATTATAGGAAAGTTACAAACCCTTCAGTGTACTCTGCTTGTAGTAGTCCAAGATATGCTTCCCATTTATTACCAATGACTTTTCCACAGGTAAAACACCTCACCGGGATAATCATTTTCAAACTTAAAATAAAACAGTAACGATAAAATTATTTGCCTCAATTCAAAATACTATAATTGATTTTTAAGTATGTCTGGTGAAAAAAATAACCCGAATAATAAATAATAGACAATTCTACGTTTACATTTTAAAATTTAAATCCTGTGTTTATTGAAAATCTCAAAAATGATCGCAGAGGTTAGATAGTAGAAAATTAAATTACCTTAGATTCTTTTTGAGTTGTTATAATGTCTAAGCTTTGATGAAATGGAAATGTGGAACTCTCACATATAAGGTAAATGCGTCTTAGTTTCGAGCTCAACTAGTGTTTTTTTTACAACTGATAACTTTTTGTTTATAGACAATTTGTGAGTTGAACAACAGCAGTCGTATTAGTTCACTTTTTTCATTCTTCAACCTTTTTTACCTTACTTGATGTTTCACACAACTTTGACATATCGTATCGCTTACGATACAGATAATATTACAAATAGACCATAAACAGTAGAACTAATTACAGATAAAAAATACTCAATATAAATTATGCCTAAACTAGTGTATTTTACAAATATTTTAAAGTTTTATTCTTTTTTTCAGATCTGGAACATTTAATTGAATCAAGAAACAATGACTTTAAATGTCAAACAGCACATCACCATTGACGACAGTCACATGGTAATTTTTTATATTAAATTAAAAATCTATTCGTAATAACATATAATGCACATTTATTGTTTAAAAGTTACACGATGAAAGCTTACGCATTGCTGTAGAGAGCCGTCTGGGTGATTGCAATGTCATGTGACAAATGGATTTTTGGGTGTGTTTGGGGCAGGAGGGGAATATTTAAGGTGCAGCACAAAGAACAAGTCGAGTTGCGAAAACCATAATCTTTATATTGTCACGGGTTGCTATAGTAATTTATCAAAATTAGGCTAATGCTAAACCAGTTGAGTAAGAGTACACAAGATAAAAGCGGTGCTACAACAAAACAAATGAGTCGCCACATCACTCCCCTACGGTTCACCGTAGGGCCCTTGATGTGGGACAATAAGTACAAATTTAAAGCAAAACAACAATAAAATATAACAATCAAATAAAAAAACTTATTATAACAGAACGCCTAAAATAATCAAGTCTTTAGGATTATTTTTAAGTAAGTAATGAAATTTTTATTACTATAAAAATGAAACATTGGACACATAAAATTAAAAAAAGTCTGCTTTAACAAAGATAAACATCTTGAAAACTAGCACTTATAAATTTAAAACATCTCGAAATTTTATTACGCTGTGCTGGCGTTTTTGTGGGAGGTGAAAGAGTTGGTAGAACTGGGGGCTCCGGTGCCAAGTCTGGGTCAGGTGCAATATACGCAGGCTTTGTTCTGTCAATGCTAAATGCTAACCTCAGATCTTCGGCCAAAAATCTTTAAGGTAATTGTCGATCAGATCTCTTCAACCTTACACAAGCCTTACACAAGCCCTTACAGAGTGTAAGGGCTTGTGTAAGGTGGGTGCAGAGGATGACGAACAGAATCTTCGCGGAGGAACACGTGACTAGCATAAATAAGGTAAGGTAAGTCCTTGAAAATAAATGTTTTAGGATTCTTCGATCAATTCCTAAATCTGACCGATTCTTATCTTAAACTATGGCTAGTGAAGGAGGCTCTAATGTTTCGGTTTAAGCACACTATTCTTTTGTGCACGCTCTCGCGTCAATGCAGTGGCAGATTGAGGAATTGACGGACAATCGCAGCGCTCAGAACAAACACTCATGGAAGACCTGGAAGTTCGCGTGTTACTCAACAGCAGAGCCGCCCATGCTCGCGCTCACGTACCACGATCGTTTCGGTGTCAAAGCAAGCAAACGCATGCCAGCATGCAGCGGTACCAATGAAGGAGCTGCCAATCCTTTAAACTAAGGGAGCGGTCGGGCGTAGCACCGACCGCGATCAGTCCAGTCAACGCCTCTTTATTATCGACCAAAATACCACGAAGACTGATAAAAGGACGTTTCTGAAAAAACAGGACTTAACCTTAACGCGGCTAACGGCAGCTCCATTAAAACTTACGGCACAGTTAACGTTAACGTTAAGTTACGGCACCTTAATTTAGGATTGCGCCGTGAATTTCGCGTCGTCAATTTCGTTGGTACTCACGTGGAGTGGACGTCCCGATTATCTTATCTTCCTAGCTTTCGTTCACCTCCTGCCCGACTGCCGTAGCGGCATACTGCGCGATGAGCTAACCAACTTATCCGCATCATTTTGTAATCGCAATATAAGGCGGCCAAGTATTGGGACCGTAAAAAAACCGTCTCGCGATTCCCCGTTCAGTCAACTCTTTTTAGACTTTCCGCGGGTGACGTGCCCATCAACCGCTGATCGTCAAATAAAACACAGCACTGTACACTATATAACAAAAACCAGTGGGCCGCCTGTTACGTCACGTCCTCGCCGACTAGCACCCAACAAGCTTAAAATTGCTGAGAAGGATTTTAATGACATGGTGTCGTCGGGTACTGCTCATCCATCTTATAGCACCTGGTCGACACCACTGCACTTAGCACCCAAAAAGGATGGCATGGAGTCCTTGCGGTGACTGCAGGCTCTTAAACGCTCGGACCATTCCCGACCGGTACCCCATGCGTCATAATGGAGACTTAAGTTATAATTTGGCTGAATCTGCTATATATATATATATAGCAAGTTAGATCAGGTAAAGGCCTACCAGCAGATTCCGGTAGCTGTTTGCAAGACGGCCATAACAACACCATTTGGTCTTTTCGAGTTCCCCTATATGTCATTCGGGCTACGCAAAGCTAGCCAAATATTCCAGCGTTCCATCGACGAGATCTTGCGTGGATTAGATTTCGCTTTTCTCTACATTGTGGACATTTTGGTATTTTCACGGGATGCTGAAGAATACGCCCAACACCTGCGCATAATCCTGCAAAGACTGATGGACTATCGCTGTCCATGTGGATAAGTGTGTATTGGGAATAGGTTATGTAATCTTCACTTAGGGAGATTACCAAGGATGGTATTTGCCCACATAACGAGAAGATCGCACCTCTCCGCGAGTTATCATTTTCCAAAAAAGGTTGGAGACGCTTCCTGGGGATAGTAAATTTCTACCGCTAATTTCTTTCGAAAGCTGTCAAGCTGCAGAAATCACTTGTGAATTTTTTAACAGACAGCAACTTGAAATGTTTAAAACCTATGCCCTGGACGTCAGACTTGGAGCGTGCTTTCTACGAGTGTCGCGACATTCTCTCAGAGGCCACCATGCTCGTACACCCGCAACGAAATGCTTGCTTAGGGTTGTACACGGACGCCTTCAGCACTCATGTCGGCCCTGCTCTATAGCAATGGTCTGATCAAGATTGGCAGCCGTTAGCTAACACCGAGCCAATGTACATGGCCCGCGTTTTACCGAATCGAGAATATCAATCAATTTTACTTTCGAAGTGTACTCGGCCGTGCAGCATTTCCGGCATAGAAATATCGACTGATTATCGATATCGATTTTTGCCAAAGAAATATCGACGAGCCACGGCTTCCACGCACCTCATTAGCGACCGCTATGTCTGGCCAAGCATTGCTAAAGACTGCCGCTCCTGGGCACGCGACTGTCGCGCCTGCCTGAGAAGCAAGGTAACGTGCCATGTCGTTTCCCCACTTGGCACCATTAGCACACCTTTGGGTAGATTCCGTCATGTTCACCTGGACATTATTGGACCTATCCGTTCCTCAAACGGTTTCAAATACTGCCTAACAGCAATAGACCGCTTCTTACGCTGGCCCGAATTTTGGTCTATGTCGTCGATAACCGCAGTAGAAGTCGCTGATCAATTTACCCACGGCTGGATCGCTCACTTTGGCGTACCGATCACTATCACCACGGACCAAGGGGGCCAATTTGAGTCCCAACTTATCAACAGACTTATTGACAAGCCACAAAACGCGTGCGTACAACAAGCTATCATCCCCAAGCTAATGGGATGATAGAGCGTTTCCACCGCCATCTTAAAGCCGCTTTAATGTTTCACAAAAGTTCCTGGTACCATGCCCTACCTTTCGTTCTTCTTGGAATCGGGGCAGCAAAAAAAGATGACATCAAAACGTCAGCTGCAGAAATTATGTACGGAGAACCACTCCGCCAACCAGGTGAGTTCCTGGTGGCTAGCAATTACCCTCAGACCGTGGACGAGGACTTGGTTGCACAGTTTCAAAAACGGATGGAACTGCGGATGTTCCAGCATCACATCACACGAATCCAAAAACATTTATTTTCAAGGACTTACTTGATGCTACTCACGTGTTCCTCCGCGAAGATTCCGTTTGATGCCCTCTGCAGTCACCTTATATAGAGTGCTAAAGACATCTGATAGGACACTTACCTTAGAGATTTCTGGCTGAAGATCTGAGATTATCATCGACAGAACAATGCCTGCGTATATTGCACCTGACTCAGACGGCACTCCGTACCCTAACAACTTGGCACCGGAGTGCCCAGTCATTTCCACTCTTTCACCTCCCGTAAGCAGAACAGCCGTGCCCACAAAAATGCCAGCACAGCCTGTAACAACCCGGTCAGGTCGCAAAAACGCTTTAACAGAATAAGGACACAGTGGAACCAATCCGTAAATACACAAACGGATCAATTTTATTATTACGCAGCAAACGTAATAATAAAATTTAGTAATAATTAGTCTAAACACAGCATAAAATATTACTATCTTATACGTAAGCTTAGCACTAAACTTTTATTAAACGCAGTATCCGTCGTGAAGTGTCAGTGGAGAGCTGTTAGTCACCTGTCACAATGTTACGGGTGATTGCCGCGCGTGGCCTAGGTTTCAACTTTCTCCTCGTCTGTCAATGATGACGTAACTCCGGTAGGGAAAGAAAAAATGGCTGTCCCGTAGCGTGAAATGCCGGCTCTGCGGTATTTTGTATGTAATACAATGGACGAAATACGAGTCAAATAGCCATGCGTTGTACAGTTAGCGATTATAACTTAATGGCTTTTCTGTAGAATCTCCCTCGCGGGCGGCTTTTCTGTAGTCTCCTTCGCTCCTTTGCACGGAGGGAAAAGAAAAAGAAGGAAGCGTACCTAGGTGGAATCGCAGAATCGAACAAACCTTGTTTAGCGCGGAAATTACTGTTTTCTTGCGAAACTTCATCGCGTAGTGACGTAGGCTCCGTTTTTAGCACTCGCGGAAGGGGTCACCCGTTTGGGTGCCGACAGGAGGGAATAGTTAAGATGCAGTACCAAGATCAAACAGAGTTGCGAAAACCATAATCTTTTTATTGTCACTGGTTGCCATGGTGTTATAAGTCATGTTATAGAAAGCAGTTACAACCCGAACAATTTTAGTACGTATTGAAGCATATTGATTAAGGTCTATTTTACGTAACTATTATATTTGGTCGATTAATGTAACCGTAACACACCGTGAGATGGCGCTTTGCCAAATTCATTTATGTTTAATAAAATTATTTAATTATTTTAAACAATACTAAGCAGATGCATAAAAGTTATTTTTAAATTCAAAATAATTTTAGAAACAAAAAAAATATATATTTTACTGGAAAATTTATATATTTTTGGTCCTCTACTTTATTTTGTCCATGGTTTGTAATTTGTTTATGACGTAGTGTCTGCTTACCAAAAAACTGTTTGTTTTGTTTCGTTTTTCTCTTGGAGTAAATGCGTGTGCAAAAAATTTTAAAATTTAAAGTAATTCCAAATTTAAAGTAATTCCAAATTTAAAGTAATTCAAACATAATACATAAATTAAATAGGTCAAGAGTTGATATCAAAAGAGTATGTATAATCTGAGATTACCAATCAACATCCGGAACATCACTAGTTAGTGTAGCCAGAACTGAACGAATTGATACAGAAGCTGGTAAACTTTTGAAGTTTCATGAATCAAATGTCAAACTTAAATGTCATATGTAAAAAAAACAAGTTTGTTTGTATCCTCTGCCTAATACGTATTCCTGCTTATTCTTGGTTTTTATAATTGTAATATCATAATAGAACAGTGACTATAAACAACATGCATATATTATTTGATTTCTATCAACAATTAGTCTTTTGTGCTGTTTTTCTACGTTTGTTTTTATTGTAAAGTGTAGTTTAATAGGAAAGAATATAGTGTACTTTTTTATGAGAATCAAGTTAAATATATCAGTGTTCTTTGTTGTACTAACATATTTTGCAATATGTTATTTCTCAGTATTATAACTTTAAGATAGGATTGCAGATACTTGAAATATATATTAAAGTCAAAATAATATGTTAAAGTCGCTTAAAAGATGGAATTAGATTGTAACAATATGTCCTTTGTTATTCTATTAAAATTCTTTTATTTGTATAGCCTTCCGATATAGAATGTACCACTAGTGATATTAAATAGTTCTTATCTAAACTAAAGCCCCGCATGCCATATTTTTCTATGAATTAAATAGAAATGGAAGACGAAATTCAGCCTCTCATTCAGTATGAGCCAGAGAATACTTTTAGTGGATCACCATATATCTTCGGACTATCTGAACAGCGTATTAATACTGATCAAGATTTTCTACAGGTAACTTTTATGTTCTTAGATATGCTTCCACATTAGGTAGGGCAGTGGATGTGCTATGCGCATGCATACAATACAATTCTTCTCAATTCTTCTCTGAGTAGATAATGCATATTATCTACTCAGAGAGGAATTGTTGGGTAGTCACTTATATCAGTACATTTAGCTAGGATGTTGTAATTTTATTGTAGGTTCCTACTAATACTGAATTACTGATTAAAAAGACGACATGGCTCAGTTTCCCATTGAAGCAAACGACATCATACTCGTATTGATTGTAAAACAATTTATTAAAAATTTTTGTGTCACAGATCCAACACATAGCAATCCCACTCAGATAGATTAGGTTATAAGGTCCTTAGCCTTTGTGGTTTTTTTTTTAGTGTCACCCAAAATGTCAGTGCATAACAGTAGTTTTAGTATTTTTAAAAACTCTTTTTATATTTATTATGGCAGATCATGGTTTGATAAATAGCTAAAGACAACGAACTTGAATTCAGAACCGACTTTGTCAACCCCAACATAAGCCATAGTCTTGGTCTGTCCTATACCCTAGTGTTTTTAGTCTGGAATTTCCCAGTTTGGAATCCATTTGCCCCTGTCCTTGTTGGGGTTGATTAGGGCATTACTGTTAATGTTCCAGTTGTATTGTTGGCTTTGGTTGGTAATTTGCTGCAAACCACGACGATTATTGGCTATTTCGGAGAACAGTTTTGTTACATCTTTAAAATAATCAAATAATATCGGGAGTCTGCTGTCGCTATGTAGGTCGACGTTTCTCTGATACAAGCTGCGTCAGTTACTTGCTGTGCCATAAATTTATTTTGTACAACCTGAAGTGTTTTCAGGTGCACTTTAGGAATGTTTGGAAAAGACGTAAAAGCATATAACATTATAGGTGATACACAGGCCTAGTAAAGAAGCAGCTTGTCCTACAGCTCAGCTAAGGATACTTACTCGGAGGAGTTCGAGAGATAACAGAGTCGGCCCGAAACAAACGCGATTCTAGTTTTAACTTTTTAGTGCGAATTGATATGATAGTCTCGAACGTTATTGGACGTATTAAAACGTTCTTGGTCCACCCTAGCGTGGGTGAAATTTCTACGCAACTTGTCTTAGCGATGTTCATGTCATCATCATCATCATCCGGTGTGAAGTGGAAGTGTTATCCATTAGTGGCGGTCATCACTTAACATCAGGTGAACCGCCGCTCGCTTATCATCTTACATAAAAAAAACACCCGTTGGCCTGCCGCTTGGGCTGCGGTTGCTGGCTAAGCAGCAAGGAGTATCTACCCTTGTTCGCGAGCCTTGTTACTCAACCCATTTTGCATGGACACGGGCCTCCCAAGTCCGTTGCACATAGGTCATGGGACCCAGGAGGGCTAACAAGCAAATAAGCAGCAAGCCTTTTGGCCCTCAGTAGTGACGGGCCAGGTCAGTAGCTCCACTGCTCTCCACGTTTAGTACCATGGAAGGTAGAGAGAACGGCGAATTTAAATACCGACATTCCTCTCCATCCGCGGCCCCACCACTGCAGCGTCAGCGGTGCTTCCCCGTCGAGTCGCGGATGTTAGGAAGTGGCCAAATGCAAAACGGACATTTCTTTTAACTCGTGACTCCACTCGGTTGCAGGGGACAGGAAAAGGCGCTCCACCTCTATACCACCTTTAACTGTCACCCGTACCCCTTCACGCACCCAGAATGAGCTTTTACTCGGAGGGAATATAAGCCCTCTCGAGCTGGTCTCACACTTCAGGACGCCTAGTGTGAGTTCTCTTTACCTTAACATGGGCCAAATTATGGCTACCGAGCCTTTCTACCATGACTGATGTGATTTACTTTAGTTATTTGTTCTGGCGAGATTACGTTGGCTGTGATGTAAGGCCCCTGTGAAGTATATCGACACGGTCTCTCGGGGTTACTGTTGATTCTCCATTTGTGAAATCAATCACCGAGGCGATTGGCGGCGCTTTGGAGGCGAGTAGTTACTCGGCCAAGATTTTATCCGAACAGAAGAGGGATTTATTCTCTACGAAAATCAGTCATTGATGGCAAGTAAAAAGACCCGTGAGAAGAGCTATTGGGTCTAACCGTTAGTTAGACCCAAAAGCTCTTCTCTCGGGGTCCTACTCTTATATAAATTTTGCCAGACAATATGCGATGGCTTTTACGAGAGCTTTCCACGCGGTCTGTCAGTGTTCTGATATGTCACGTCTGTGTGTCTGCGTTGGACTTGGTTCGTTTTCGATCGATATCGGTCGTAGACCTGTGGAAATAATTTCCCAATCAGACGTCGCCGTTCAGGCTGAAGGTTAATGTGCTAAACGCCCAAACTCACCGCTCGTTCCGATCCATCGACGGCCGAAGATGTCCGAGATCAGAAGCTTGCTATCGCTTGACTTGCTTCATCGAGCGTAACTATTGCCTGTTAAAATTTAATTAAGTTAAAATTCCTAACTGCCTTAGCCCCACTAAGGCAGTTGAAATTTTAACTTGGGCTGCAATTTGACTACGACGCGATGTCAGTCCGCTTTGGTCTAAATGATGGCATTCTGGATCAGCTTTCACAGTACTTGTCTGTGATTTTAGTTCAGTTCAAGTATGGTCTCTATTGACTTGACATCGAGCGAGTTCTCTACGAGTAAAACAATGTATTGTTCAGACGGGCCGAGGATTTCTCTTTAGGCCATTATTGATTAATATTAGTTGGCACTTACGCAATTTCAATTTTTAAACAAACCAAAATGTTGAGAGTACAACAAATTTAGGATTTGTGCAACCTAAACTTGTCAAAACATATTCAGCACATCAGTAGTTATATTACTTGTTGCAGGTAATAATTTTCAATCTAACAGTAGCCAAGGTTAGTGACACCAGGATGTCAAACATCTTATTCCTTCCAAATATCATGAATCTTCTAAATAACACTTAACCGGAAAATCTAAATTATTTTATTAGTATGTGTTATATGCACATCGGTAGAAGTAAATTTTGAAACATTAGCTACTAAAACGTTGAAATCTATTACATAGTCTGTTTTACAATAATGATTTTATATTAATGACAAGATACCATAATTTACTATAATAATTTAATTCATTTTTACTTACAATACTGTATTATCTCAGTGGCCTTATCACTCCCAGAGCATTACAATATGCATCATTGTAATGTTAGCCAATTGATTACTACATCATTTTGTATAATTGTGTAACTGTTTATGGAGTATAATGACATATAATATTGTCGTTTTATAATTGGATAATCATATTTATCTTATTAAGTTTTATATGTAATGGGTAATAATAAACTTCATATACCTCTACACCAGTATTATTGTTTAAGTCTTTTGTAGTTTTCCATGAAAATTTAGAGAAGTAATTATTTTTTTCTCTTGTACATTGTTTTCTACGATGACCTTCTAAAAACTATCACACAAATAAAATTTGGTTCATAAGAAAGATTCTGAATCTGACCAAGGAGATAATTTTTCTTTGGTTGTATTGATGACCAGTGTTCTATGATTGCTGCATTTTATGAAAACAATATTTTAAAATAATATTTTTATCATCTTTGGTTCACATACATTTTAACTTTAATAAAGATATAGTTGCTGACATAAAACATATAAATCTCCACTAAGTTTTTGGAATCAATGATAAAGGGTATTGTTAAACTGATAAGAGGATTAACTACACTGTGTTCATGATCATTTTAGCCATAATTTAAGCATTGATTCTACCTTTCGTCCCCCACTCTAATGGCAAATAGGGGATGATTATTTTGAGCACATAATTTAAGTGTTTTAAATAATTTTTGTCAATTTAATAGTTAGAGAATTGGTTGACTATGCTGGAATACACTCTTTACATAGGAGGATTTAACTTTTTATATACATAATTAAATCGCATATCTAAAATTTTCGGATTGTAAGTTTGATAGGGTGATTCACAAGTTGTTTTTGTTTTTCTAGTACTATCAAATGGGTTTACCGCATTGTAACAGTTTTCAACAGAAACAAACAACAAAAAACAACAAACTGTTATCCTAATATATGATAAATGTTTTTTTTTAACGAAAGTGTAACATATTACAGCAATTTTTTATGTAGTGTCACAAAATTTAAGCAATGAACAAATTATTTAATAGAAAGAAATTTAATTTTTAAAAATATATGTTTAAAAATTAAATTTCTTTCTTATTTCAGGTAGTTTATGGCTATCGTAGAAGCCGGTGGCGAACATTCCTGGTGTATTTACTGTCGATAGTGTTATGTGGAATTCCATTATTGGTCTTTCATTGGTATCCAAGATGGTTTCTCTTCGCTACTTCGGTGAGATGCTGCTTCCAGATGGCCGACAAAGTTTTAGTAGTGGTATGTATTGCTTGGTTAATACTTGTTTATCCACGGTTGTGAAACATGTGTAATAATGTTTTATATTTATCTCTGTGTTTTTGTCCACAATTATAAATTTCTTGCTACAAAAATAATGAGTAGATCAATGATATGAGTCCCCTATTTCATTTGATATTATTATTTAAATACTTGTTAATGTGATTTATAAGTATATACATAGTTGATATGTTATTATTAAATTCCAATAGTCCATGATCTTAGTCTAATAAAAGTTTGAGATGTATTTAATACTTTATTGTGCATTACCAGGAAACATATCAGAAGAAATGCAAAAGTTACTACACCCACAGGATTTTGATTAAGGACATTTCAGATGCAAGGTAAGAAGCAGTGGTTTAGTCCTATTGCTTTGTGATGCCTAAAGATTTAAGCAGCCATTTTATCACTTCACTACATTTTTTTTTGTGCTATATTGACAATCTTTAGTATTGAAACCTTTTACTTATAAGTCAATGTGAACAATGTTATTACTAAATACTTAATGAATCTTTTATTATTAAAGCTTATAAATAATATTGCAGTGGTTTAATAAATCAAGGCTTCCAAGAAGAGTTTGGTGAAGAGAAAAGTGGTATTGACAGTGCCGATGATTTGTATACCTCAGTACATTTGGAAGACGGAACCACTTTAAGTAAGTGCTACTGTGTTGCAAAATTTTTGATTCAATTTTGACATTGCTATAATTATACGAGGCAATGATAAATCTTATGTTTTTTTCATATGAGAAGGTGGCAAGCGGCGGTTCGCCTGATGTTAACCAGAATGCCAGTATAATAAATAATGTGTATAAATTCTACTTCGATATCTTTCATTTAAAAACATGTCAACAGATGGCACTATCATACATTCTTCGCAAAACATTTTTGACGAAAGTTTTTTTTATATGAAAACATTAATTTACATTCTACTTGTCTATTTTTCGTCAATCGCAATAAACGTAAGCTCTAAGAATTATTGAAGTTATGGCGTACCGACATAAAAACCACCTTCGAGGAACCGTTTGTACAGATGTCCAAAGCTACCGGTATTTCCGCCATAAGAAGCAGACCCTGGTATGGGAGGCGGGGCGCGCGTCTTGGGTGAGGCTGGCGGGGGTCGAGAGCGGAGCCACGTGCGCCCAATTGCACGCTTTAGCGACCAAAGCACCGAGTGTGGACAGGCGACGGCGCATGTGAGTATGCGCCATAGATGCATGCCCACATGCACTGCGTTAATTCCGGGCGCACGTATGGGGGAGGTGATCTTCAAAAGATGGCTTGTCTCCCGGCGAAGACTTATATCCTTTATCGGAACCGATTTTTACAGATGAAGGAACCAAATAAATATTCATTCATAATTTTTTCCTAATATGCCAAAAGAAATGCGGCTTCAGTAAATTAATTAAAATATAAAAACGAAATTGAAATAATTAATTACGCAAATGATTTGCAAAGTTATTCAAAAAAAATTTAAATGATATAAATCCTTATTTCGAAAAACGTACTCCACACAATAGTAAGTTAGAGAGGACAATAAATAGAGAAACAAGAATAGAGAATTTAGCCAATAAAAATAAAAGGTCGTGGGACGAAGGGATTTATATCTAGTATGAACATTCTAAGTTGCAAACGTCTTTGGAAATGCTTTTCAGTGTTATTTTTACAAATAACAATACAAATTTAATTTAACTCAAATACAATTTTATTTGCAGGCTTAACATATACGGCCTGAACGAAATCAAAGTGCCAGTTCAGTCCATAATGACCCTCATTCTCCTGGAGGTGTTCAACCCCTTCTACGTGTTCCAGTTCTTCACGATAGCCGTCTGGCTAGCAGAGCCCTACTATTATTACTGCATCGCTGTGGTGTTGATGTCAACTTTCGGTGTTGCCACATCCGTTATACAGACAAAGAAGGTCGGTGTTGCTATTTAATGTAGACCCTGTTAATTTTTCACTTTAGTCCGTATCTTAATCTATACATATAAAGTTTAGTACTTATATAGACATAGACCGCAAAAATTTTTGAAAAGGTAAATTAGTTTGAATAGAACACATTTTCAATTCGCTTTTTTTCAATTTTTCGCTTTGAATTTTTTCAATTCACTGTTATAACTTTTTCACAAAACGGTGCCGACTTTTCGCCAAACTGACGATTCGATTGACATACCAAAACCAGCCCACGCGTTTGGTCTCGACCACCAGAAAAAGACGTACATAGACCGATAGACACATTACCCTCCTTCCTCGCGCAGTCGGATAAAAATAAATAACGATATCTCGACCATTGGTACCTTACGAACCTCTATGTATAATGTTTTATGTAAAATTTGACGATTCATAAGAACGCGCAAGCGTCTATTTGAATAAAGATTTTTGATTGATTGATTATGGAGCGCTGATAGTTTTGCCTGTACTGTGACAATAAGGCGGTGCGGTCCCACAGAATCAGAAGAACCTTCGCGCAACCGTCGAAGCTCACGACACGGTTCGACTGTGGGGCGGCCAGCAAGCGGACAGCCGAACTCTTAGCCCTGGCGACGTTCTACTCCTGCCCCAGGCTGGGTGTCTCCTCCATTGTGACGCTCTGCTCCTCAACGGGGCGGCGATATTGAACGAGAGCATGCTCACCGGTAAGTTTGCGATCTCCCTGATTGAACATTCCATACGGCCGTAGAAGTTTCCAGAATAATCACTATCGAATAGGGCTGCCAGATTATTTTGGATATCATCTGACAACCTTATTCGGTATTGATTTTTGAGAGCACATGATTTTTTCCATATTTTGTCATCGGACAACCTCAATATCGAACGTGTATAATAATGGAAAGGGAAGTTTTCTATGATAAATGGAATTATAAAGAATATTTTTCTTTAATCTCGCCGTAGTTCGTGATAAACTTATCAATGTGCGGATGTCGTGAGTGATTTTAATTTTTTTTTTTTTAAATTGGGATTAATTGGAAGGCATGGTCGGTTTTTTATCCTAGAGTAAAGGCCCATTTACACGGTGCAAGTTTCTTGCCTGTTGTATACAATTAAATTGAAGCAATAAATGAGTTGCATGGTCTAAACAACAAATGGTCTAAACAATTATTGCGCGCAATTTATTGCATTCAATTATTGCTCTTGTATGTTCAAGAAAATGGCATCGTGTAAATGGGCCTTAAAGGCGCAATGTATAAGAGTCGCAGTAGTCGTTGGGACTTCCAACCCCTTCCATACATAATAATTAAGATCTTGGTCAAGCTATTATGTGTAACAATCTAGATAAAACACATTGAGATTATCGTTGGTGTGGCAATCGGCCGTTAGCTTAGCCTAATCCCGTAGAGGCGGGTTCGATTCCCACAGCACGAAAAGTCGTGCTTTTTTCTACAAATTTTAATGTGTTAATGTTATTTATTTTCGCAGGCGAGTCGGTGCCGGTAACAAAGACCGCGTTGCAACGCGTCGATAGACCCTTCGATCCCAAGGAACATGCCTCCAGCGTCCTCTATTGCGGCACAAGTGTCATACAAACTCGCTACTACAACAACGAGCCTGTCAGGTGAGACCTGCCCAGTTTCATGTATTAAGATAGAAAGTGTTTTTTTTTTTATGTGAAACGTTGTCAAACGAGCTGGTGGTTCCCCTGATGTTAAGTGGCATTTAAAAAGTGCGACTGCTTTATAACTGAAAATAGAGTTGTACAGTAATTTCCTAATGATATTATTTTAGAAACACTGCGGATTATGTTCATATCATAAGCTAACGAGAATGATTACAATTGAATCTCTCAAATACACGAACAAAGTTAACGCAATAATATTTGTATTTGTATTGTTGAGAATGTTAGCTTTTCCCCCCGTTATTCGTGTATTTGATCAAACGTTTGTTCCAACAGGGCGCTCGTTCTCCGAACCGGTTACAACACCAGCAAAGGCCAGATCGTCAGGAGCATACTGTACCCGGTGCCGGCCGATTTCAAGTTCGACCAGGACTCTTACAAGTTCATATTGATATTGGCCGGCATTGCGATCGTCGGGCTCTGTTACACCGTCGGCTTGAAGGTAATTTTACGGGCGTTTCATTCGACGCCTTATTGAGCGATGCTGTTTTTGTACGGTGTGAATGCGGTGGTGAAAATGCTTTTATGTTACCTTGGTGTCCTTGTTCGGTAATTTTTTTTTTAAGATTTAAAGGCAATTGGCGCCGTTGATAGAAATGGTTTTACGGAATGCTGCAAATTATATGAAACTTATTATATTTTATGGTATAAACTCACACTAAAAGCATTAAAAATTTAGTTAATTTAGTAATGCGCGTGTTCGCGTAAATATAAGTTGTTAATTTAGTGTTATTAATGTAGCGTTATTAACGTTAAAATGACGCCTTGTCTGTGTGTAAATGGGCCTAACAATTCAAGGTGAACAGTGACACGTTACTTTAACTTAACTGCGCTGTTCTAGAGCAGCCCTGGTGTTGTTAAAGTCTTTTGATTGCGCTAAACTTACAAAGATTTGGGTGAACCACGCGAAACAGAAACTGGTATGATCAATATATATTGCTCATACCAGTTTCTGTATAGCTGCAATAATTGCTGATTACGAAATTAAGACTTTACGAAAGTTAAGAAGTATTCGAAAAATTAAAATTAAAAAAATGTCAACTTGAAACATATGCCTATTTGATATATGAACCATTACACATTAACCTTTGAAAGAGTTTGTCTCTGTGCTCTTAATTTCGTTTTCATAGAGTGTATCTCTGTCACACACTACACATTTTGACTAATCTACGTCTCTTAGCCTCTCGAATTTTTTTTTCTTCACTTTACAACTGAGGTGGGTTTACTAATGTAAATTTTCCATTTTATAAATATTCTTTGAGTCCAAATAAATAAATAGCATTGAGTCGAGAATTTCGACAGTGAAATTTGCACCATAAAACACGATGTTACATTCAGTGTTACCAACTATTAAAAAAAATACAACTATTAAATATAATACGTGAGAAGAGTTTTGGTTTGAATTCACCTCCTCAAAGACTTTCATTGCAAATTTTCCCCTAAATTTAGGAGCTAAACTCGTAAGTTGGCATCCTAGGTTACATTCGTTACGCTTGTTTTGCGCAAACCAATCGCCACCGTAGCTGATAAGATTCGGCGTGTTCCAGTGGTCCCGCGCGCTGAGCGTGAGGGACATCGTGATAAAGGCGCTCGACATAATAACTATAGTGGTGCCCCCGGCGTTGCCCGCCGCGATGACGGTCGGCCGTCTGTACGCGGTGTCGCGGCTGAAGCGCGCCCGCATCGCCTGCCTCAACACGCGCGCCGTCAACGTCAGCGGCTCGCTCGACTGCGTTTGCTTCGACAAGGTTGAACTGCGTTCGAAATTACTAACCACTTCTAATACTGGTGGAGAATGCCATTGGGCGTTAAGTCCGCCGTAACAATAGTTTTAATAAGTATGTACTTACTAACATCTTGTGTATGACTCACTTTTATACCCCTTTGTTTAAATTTATAATTAATAAAGTAGCACCTGTATGCTATATCTTTTGGGCGAAATCATCCTCTCATACAGAGCAGTGCTTCCCAAATTTTTGTTCCGTCATAGAATTTTAATAACAGACGCTTAATCGTAAAGCGCCCAGTGAACAGCTTTTGATCTAGGTCAGTAGGCGAGTAGGCAGTTCACCTGATGTTATGTAAGTAATCCCACCCTTGAAAAGATGTCCAAGAGTGCGATTCATGCAGATACATGAACTGTGGAATTGCAATTACGTCACGTACCTTTAAAATGGTTACCTCAATCGTTTATGGTCTTCTGCGAGCTCATGGAAAGTACTGGAAGGAAGAAGAGAGAAGATTAACTGCGGTGTAGGAGCAAGAATATTGGTAAAGTAAAAAGTGCTGCATCGACAATACCGTACACAGTATTGTAGATTATTTTAGCATCCCGTGTGCGTCACCAATTTAATAACTCTGCGATTGCCTTGCGCAACTGTGCACACGCTAAATATATCGATTCATAGACATACTCCTCGTCTAGATAACCGCCACTATAAGTGTTATGCCCATTAAAATAAACTCCCTAACTCATCACGGCTAACACGCGCTAGCTAGCTAAACAAAACTCCGCCAAAGCTGCTGTATAATAATTATTGTCTTTACTTATGAGACGGGAACCCTGACGGAGGATGGTCTGGACATGTGGGGCGTGGTGGCAGTCAGCGCCGCCACATCTCCCCCCCGGCTGGGCAGACCCCTCCGTGACCCTCGGCAGCTGAACGACCTGCACCAGCTCAAGATCGGAATGGCGGCTTGCCACAGCCTGACCCTGCTGGACGGACAGCTCGCCGGCGACCCGCTGGACCTCAAGGTTATTTAACGGTCGAGTGACATTTTCAGCTGTTCGTTCGGTGACCAATTCGACCTCGTGCGAATGAGTGACTGAGGTCGTCTAATGATTTTCCAGTGACCCGCTTGTCGTTCGAACGATTGAATGTATGATTGGGAAAGAATGGATCATTTTCGGTTTCAGCCTCCTCTCGGCTTTATAACGTTTCATCGTACACATGAACTAAGATCGCCAAGAGTCTAGTCTACACTGTTTAGGCGTAGATCTTGTGGACGGGGTGGGAGATAGTTAACCTAGAAAAAGTCATCATGGTACGAAAGCTACATTATTGAACTTGTTTAAAAATAATACTAGTGTGTACTTAATATTTTGGATGCAAAGGCCAATTCGTCAAAGATCTGATTTTCACTTTTTAGTGTCAAAAAATAAAATAAATTCAAATTCACCGAGAATCGCTGAACATTTGACTAAATCGATTGGTACTGAGGTACTTGATCTCTCCCCAAAACCGTTGATCCACCCGATTTTAAATTCTCTAACAGTGGCATATTTAATATACAAATCATCCTCCGTTAGAGAATGAGGTGTCCATAGATCATTATTTTAATCTGTTTATTCTCAGATGTTCGAATCGACTGGCTGGACGCTAGAGGAGCCCGACGTCCCCGAGCAGTCGAACTACGAGATCCTCACGCCGACCATTGTGAAGCCAAAGAAAAACGCCAACATCAACGTGGATGACGTTCACGTAAGGATCGATTTACACTTAGATATTTAGACGCGATATTTCCAGTTGGGTATGCAGTCTTAACTATTGTATATTAAAGTTTCGTTTTTAAAATGGTACGTGAATTGCAACGCTTTTATTGAAATGAACACCATAATCTTTGTAACGTGATTTTGACTTAATCCAATGGAAAGAACTCTCTTCCAAGATGATTTTTAACCTAGAGTGCAAAGCAGAGTAATGAATCACGTATTAGACTTCACTAGCGTTTTCCAACAATCGAAATAAGCGAAAAGCGTCTGAAGACTCTTTAGTCTTTGTCAGATGCGATATATTTCAACTCTGTGATCTCCCAGATGCCCCTGGAAGTGGGCGTAGTGCAACAATACCAGTTCGTGTCTGCGCTACAGCGTAGCGCCGTAGCGGTGCGCCTTCTGGGCGAGGATGTGCTACGAGTGTTCTGCAAGGGCGCGCCCGAGACGCTACGAACTCTCTGCCGGCCCGACACCGGTACCGTGTTCAATTCGTTCGTTCACTCGGTAACCTGATCATTCATTCGGTCATTTGTACACTCGCTCATCTAGGCGTTCCCTTGCTCACACATCCCTCCATTTGTTCATTAACTCATTCGTTCCTTAAGGACGTGGCTTGCCTCAGACTCTTTGACCCATTTACTAAATCTTTGCAGTAATACACTCAATCATTTTACCCTTTATCGTTAATAAGATCTTTTTTCGATTTCCGAATACAATCGTTCATTCGTTTTGTAATAAAAAAAAAAATTCGTTCTTTTGCTACACATTTCCGCTCGTTCATTTCCTCGTCTTCTGCTTCCCTCTTAAAAGCAATTTAAAATGTACTAGTATTGTACATTGTTAAATCATGTGTTAGTTTTTTTTTTAATTTACGTATAAATGTTTTAATATCTTATCAGTCACTTTAATTTAATTATTTGTAAACATTTGTTTGGAATTATTTATAATTTTTGATATTGTGTACTTATGATATTTAAACATTCACAGTGCCAGAAAATCTGAACGTAGTTCTCAGCTCGTATGCGGAGAAGGGATACAGGGTTATCGCAATCGCCACCAAGATAATGGAGGTCACTTTCAAGAATTTACAGCGAATGACTAGGGACGAGGTAATTGTTATGTATATTGTATATTGTTTATTATCAAGTTAAAGGTACAAAGATCAAAGGTACAAAGTTGAGTTGAGATTAGTCAGAATCGAGATACTAACCCGATTATCAAAAATTTTTAAATCACACTACTTGTAACCGTTTTCCGTTCAGTTGTATAAAAAAACGTTAAATGTGAAGAAAATAGAAAAGTAACAGCCTATACTATATTTATCCCACTTTTGGTCAAAGGCCTCTTTAATACAGAGGGTATCAGGAAGGATACCACCACGCGACCAATTAATTAATATTTTTTTTCCTTGAAGTTATTTTGAAAATTGATAATTCAGCACTTAAGTTAACTTCTTGGTGCCAGCACTGGGTATCGAATTCGGGTTGCTCTAGTTTATCGAATGACAATGAGTTATAACGGCTCGTAAATGATGTTGCAAAGGAATATTCCAGATCGAATCGGACCTGGATTTCCTCGGCCTAGTGATCATGGAGAACCGTTTGAAGGCCGCCTCGGCGGGCGTCATACGGGAACTGAAGGAGGCAAATATACACGTGGTCATGATCACAGGTAAACTATATCACATTTCTTACTAACTCGCAACCGTTATTCTTAGTGAGATCGAACAGTAAAGCTTAGGCGTATATACTGGAACAGATTTTGACATTTGACACAAGGGTTAAAGTATTTATAAGTAGACAACACTTAAACGAAAAGTTATTCTCCATTGGAACGCATCGCTTTTGATACTCTGTACTCGGTGTCTTGCAGGACTCGTTCGACGGACTTATGTGTGAGTGACATGTCGAATGACAATTAACAATAATAATAATTTTAACAAGAATAATCATTTATTTCTCGCCATTATCCTCAGAAGTGACTATAAAATCATTACATAGTATAAAACAATGTCTACCCGTTGTCTGTCTGTCCCTATGTATGCTTAGATCTCTTAAACTACGCAAGGGATCTTGATGCGATTTTTTTACTACATGAGTGATTCAAGAGGAAGGTTTATATGTATAATACATTGCACCCGTGCGAAGCCGGATCGGGTCGCTAGTTATATATATGTAATATATATATATAGATATAGATATATAATAAATGCGCGTAAAATAAATAATTTGGGCAACCATAAATCACACACTTTTTGAGATAAGTTCAAATGAATGTAATTAATTAATTACGAGTGATTCTAAATATTTCTTCATTTTTATATAGTTAACATTATTTATGTCTGGAATTTAATAAAAAAAAAAAATGGATACACTCAGAAAAGCCTCCCTGTGCATGTACATAATTGTCAGGGGACAACGTGCACACGGCAGTCAGCGTCGCCCGCGAGTGCGGGATTGTGGCGAGCGGGGAGCGGTTGGTGCGGGTGCTGCTGAAGGAGGGGCCCACCGGCCCCAGGCTCTACTGCGAGAGCACGCTGCACGGGGTGAGCTGTTCTCAGCTCTGTGACTCTTCCACTTCCCACGGCTGGGAGAGGAGTCACGTGCTGCGCTTCTTGCCACTATTTCTAATTACTTTTTACGGGAATGTTATACGTTTGATATTCCCTCTTCCCCCCGGTACGAGCCAAAATAGCGTTGTTAAATTTCTTTTTTTTTTTCGAGAATGTTAAACGTTTGTAAAACTACCGTGGTAGGGCCACGCAACAGCTCCTGTTGTTGCACAAATGGGCCCGCTCGGGGAAGTACCACGGCCTCCGAAGACCGGGTCGAAATCGAAGTATTATAGTTTCGTGTTTCGTCTGCTGAGTGCTGTAACTGGGGCCTATTTTATACAGGTTGTTAATGCATCCGTAAACCCTCGCTATCACTTAACATCACGTGAACCACCTGCTCTCTTGACAACTTTTCACATTAAAAACAAACAATTTTTTTGTATACTTTTTTTTAGTTTTTGATGTCTCCGTGGCGCAGTTGCCAGGGTGTTGGCTTCGACGTCGGAGGTCGTGGGTTCAGTTCCCACACGGGACAACTATTACTGACCCCACAGATAATTGTTTTGGGTTTGAATTTGTACAAATTAAAGAACACATATAAAATGGTTATTTTATGTGAGGCGAGAAGGTGCGCTGCGTTCGATCTATATTACCGATATATATACCTCTATATCTATAGAAGCAAGGTGTAAACTGTATGTACATATGTACCAAACGCAGATTACATTTCCAGGTAAACATTGGGCGCACTTCTCCCCTGGAGGAGGTGTGCTCGATGCTTAGCGTGGACAGCGGCCGGGGCTCGTGGCGCGGCTCGGGAAGCGATTCCCACGCCCACGCCCAATCCCACTTTCAATCCCACGCCCACGCGGACACGGAGGCGCCGCAGCTGCTGCCCAACTACAAGGTGGTCATGACCGGAGACGCTTGGCAGGTAAAGCTTTGGCTGAACCTAGTGCGGTTTTGGTGGCGATATGAGTAAGAGCAGAGACGATGTAATAAAAACTGGAACGGAAATTGAAGCAGAAATGGTCGCGTAAATGGGTTTTTAAGAAAACCTCTCTATTAAAATCTATTTCAAGTTTTCGCGTTTTTTTTAAAGATTTCTATCGCCTAATTTAACATGAAATTCTAAAAAACATGTGATATATCCTATTTCAAAAAACCGACTTTGTTGCTCTGTAGTGATCAGTCTCTCACAACTCGTATAAATTTTACCCGAAATTAAATAAAATCACGACACCGTGGAACTACTGAAGATATAAAGTTTAAACGTTGGTGTTATTCCGTAGTTGTTACACCACTAGATAAGGCACTTGTTAGTATGTACGCGGCCTACACAACGTGGAGGGACGTGTAAAGTCGAGGAATCTTTCTGCGTAATGATGCATACTTACACATACTTAAACATACTTTTCTTTTGTAAAATAATGCTCTCGCTTTCAGCAAGTAGCCTATTATGTCAATTTGCGGCGTGAAGTGCAAGTATACTAAAAACTTTCGCGTTTCGTCTGCTGAGTGAGTTAGCTGGAGCCCAATTTCAAAGGTTTCAACACATCTGCAACCCTCGGGTGTAGTAGATGTCCACAGGCCGCGGCATGCACTTAACATCGGGTGAACTGCCTGTTCGCTTGGCAACTTATCGCGTAAAAAAAGAAAAAAATGTCTAGAAGTTGGTGTTTGGATTAGCAGATGGCGCGCGAGTGCTGCCCCTCGCTGGTGCCGAGGCTGGTGGCGCGCGGAGCGGTCTTCGCCAGGATGACGGCCGACCAGAAGCAGCAACTGGTGCTGGAGTACCGCGCCTTGGGCTACTACGTGGGTCGGTACCATAACCTATGTGCAGTTGTACGGTGTCTACGTAATAGGATTGTTTTCCGCTGGCGATCTTGGTATTGAAAAGTCACTTGGTCATAATGAACGTAATACATGCCTAAATATTTCAGATCAGAATACATTTTACACCATATTCTTTAGTCCCAAACTACTAAACATACTTTTCTTTTTTAAATGAATACATATTACAAATACGAATACTGTAAAATACTATATTCATCACGTAAAACTTTTCTAGTAGTTGAGTCGAACCCGCACCCTCTGGCTCTAGAGGCAGGTTCACTACCCACTAGGCCAATCGGGTCGACGTTTGACTTGTTGCTGCCGTGAGAGCACATTCTTCAGGCGCGCACTAAGCGGCAACGTTGCCCTTTAAGCCGCACCCTATCCCTCTAAGTGGCAACGTCGTCTGGCGGACCATGTCTATCCCACTAAGCGGCAACGTCGCCCTTCATGCCGCACCTTATCTCACTAAGCGGAAACGTCGCCCTTCATGCCGCACCCTATCCCTCTAAGCGGCAACGTCGCCCGGCGGACCACGTCTATCGCACTGAGCGGCAACGTCGCCCGGCGGACCCCTCTCCCTCTGAGCGGCAACGTGTTGGCAGGCATGTGCGGCGACGGCGCAAACGACTGCGGCGCGCTGCGCGCCGCGCACGTGGGCGTGTCGCTGTCGCCGACGGAGAGCAGCGTGGCGGCGCCGTTCACTTGCGCGCAGCCCGACGTGGCGTGCGTGGCGCGCGTGGTGCGCGAGGGCCGCGCCGCGCTCGCCACCTCCTTCGGCGTGTTCAAGTTCATGGTGGCGTACTCGCTCGCCGAGTTCCTCTCCGTCGCGCTGCTCTACTACTTCGACTCCAACCTCACCGACTTCCAGTTCCTGTTCGTGGACGTGGCGCTCATAGTGAACTTCGCGTTCTTCTTCGGCCGCACGGAGGCGCACGCGGGCCGCCTCCACCCGCTGCCGCCGCCCACCTCGCTGCTGGGGCCGGCGCCGCTCGCCTCGCTCGCCGGCCAGATGGCGCTGGTGGCGGCCGGCCAGTACCTCTCGTACCTCGCGATCGCCCACTTCCCGTGGTACGTGCGCCACACGTACGAGGGCGAGGAGGCCAACGAGTGCTGGGAGAACTACGCCGTGTTCACCGTGTCCACGTTCCAGTACATCACGCTGGCGCTCGCGTTCAGCCACGGCTCGCCGTACAGACGCTCCGTGCTAACCAACAGGCGCCTGATGGTCAGCGTGCTGGTCATGACCGCCATATGTGTCTACATAACCGTCTCGCCCGCTCAGTGGCTTGCCGAGTTCCTCCAGCTGAAGATGCCGAAGGACAGCCTTATGTCGTACATAGTGCTAGCGCTGGCCTCCATCAACTTCGTCCTGGCGCTGTTCTTCGAGAGGGTGGTCGTCCAGTTCCTGATGCAGGACAAGGAGCTGATACCGCGCTGGTTGAAGGAGAGGAAGGTGCGGAAGACGCCGCACTTGATGATCAAACGCCAGTTGACCGACACCGACTATCTGGACTGCAACAGCGTTGTCAGTTATGACAAGGAGAATAGAGGTCCATCAAATGTCAGCTATGGTCAGAGCAGCTAGCGACCTCCTATAAGCTTTATTGTGTGAATGCAGCTGACATTCAATTATGTATAAGGTTACTTAATATTATAATATTATAATAATAATATTAGTGTTAAACGTGTCTTCTAACTATTTTTAACGATTTTATTGCAAAGCAATTTAAAAAATTGCAATTATTGTTTATACAACATTCCTTTCGAATATTTTCGCCATTAACATTTTGTTAGTTTATTATGAGATTAGGGCCTTGTAAATCAAGTAATTGAATCTTATGATTTTTTCTTAAAACAGTATTTTGATACATTTACACTATTTTATATTATAATTGATTTATACAAAGTTTAATTTTCGATTCTTTATGATCTTTTCTTTATATTTTTGTATTATCTTTACCTATTTTCGCTTATAATATAATATATTATTATCAGCATTCAATTAATTGTGATAATTAACGACATACACGTAAAGCGTGTTAGTAATTTAACATAATATTTTATTAGAGATTAGAAACATTCCTTTTAAATGTATTAACGACGGTGCTGTAATGTCTTTGCTAAGTGATAATTAGTGCCTTTTTAACTATAAGTGATGCAACAAAGTAGATAAAGGATTTATAACATATAAATAGCAAAACGGATACTTTGTCTCATTAATGTTTATGAGATTACTGTCAAGTGATGTACAGTTTTAGAAAATTATTTTACCACGAATGAAAACATACTTTCGTATGGTAGCATAGACATTTAGCCAGAACGAACATGTAAAGAATGTTGCCCCTTTTTTATCAGGAGCCTAATAATTAAATAATTATTACAAAATTCTTAAAAGAGAACCGCTAACAATCTATACAATAAATTGACAAGACACTTGATAAACGGATTGTTTTATACATATATTTTATTGATTGTCAAAAATTGTGATTTGGGGGCACACATAATAATTGTATATATTACCATAGAGTAGTTCAGCCCTGCATGATATTAAATACAGATTGTATTGAAAAGTATTAGCACTATGTCGTCTAACGATCATAGATTCTAGTTATTTAACTAATTCTAACGTTAGCGTCCTTTAAGGCGTAAAAAGTTTATGAAATAAATGTCTTATGAAACTGTTAATCTGTTCTTTTTTATAAACCAAATTTCTCGGAACTTACGAATCAATTATTTATATATTATATATATATATATATATAATAATATTGGCATTCAGTAAAAACAAACCACCAACGTTTTCTTTCCCTTATTATCTATACAAACTCTTTGCCGCGAAAGTAACCAATTGGCCGCGAACAAAATGCGGTCAATAATCTCCTTTTAAACCGAAATAAATGTATACGATTTCCATTGTCTAAGTTGTCTTAAAAGTATCAGTCTATTCATGTCACACTCCTGGGCAGACTCGGTACACAGGGTATCAGGGCATAGTCCACCACGCGGCCCCACTGCGGATTGGCGGACTTCACATATCTTCGTTATATTTTTTTATTATTATTTAGAAATAATGCAGGTTTCCTCACGATGTTTTCCTTCACCGCTGAGCACGTGATAATTTGGCACTTAAAATTAACAATTTCATTGGTACCGGCACCGGGGGTCGAACTCAGGTTACTATCATGGCTAAGTCGTCTTACAGTCATGCCGTGCATTAATATTTAAAACGAAACTAATTATTTAATTCGAGGGCTTTTTCGGATATTTTTTTTTAAATAAAGAGCTATTTGATGGCACTCAAGAACTTGTTTTTCTAATTACACCAAGTAGCGCAGTTACATTCTTCAGTTTCGATGCCCTAATGTCATATCAAACTCGTATCTCTACATCATTGGATAGGTATGATTGTGAAATGGAGTTGCAGTTGTAGTAAAAAGTAGTAAAAATAGTAGTAAAAAAAAAAAAAAAAAAAAAAAAAAAAAAAAAATAATGTCCCGCTGAGTTTCTTACGCCGGTTCTTCTCAGGTCAGTGGCTTACCTTCCGAACCGGTGGTAGAGTTTGACTTAGACTTTGACTTTGAGTACAATAATTTAATTTAGACTTTGACTTTGAGTACAATAATTTCTCTAAAAAAAGATTATCTATCTGATGTAATAATTTGTTATAAGCGAATTTTGTTATCTTTTATTACCAGTCATTATTAAATTTTATTACCAGTAATATATAATTGTATTAGTTGTAACTGAAGGCCTTTTTTAGATTTTTTAATTTAAATAAAATTAAACAGCCAAGGGCTGCAGAATTTAGGTAGCAGCGAATTTGGTCCAAAATTTTTGTCTTACAGAAACGTTTTAAGCATTTTTTGGTAATCAGTATATAATGAAATTACAGCATTTTTAAGGCATACCTTTTCCCCTTTTTATAATTAGAACATGATTAATTTTTTTCATCTCGGAAATATACCTAAAAATAATTTTCGTGCAATCTTCTCTAAATAGTGGGTTATAAAAAATCTAGAAACTGACACAGCGAAACCCTAGTTCAAAATAATTCTTATAACAAGAAACGACCATGCGTGAATCGGACTCGCACACGAAGGGTTCTCCGTACCATTATCTGTAAAAAAGGCAAAAAAAATCATGTCTGTTATCGGAGCCCTACTAAAATATATATTTATTCTTTTTTTTAGTATTTGTTGCTATACCGGCAACAGCAATACATCATTTGTGAAAATTTCAACTGTCTAACTATCACGGTTCTTGAGATACAGCCTGGAGACAGATGGACAGACCAACAGACAATCTTAGTAATAGGTTCCCGTTTTACCCTTTCGGTACGGAATCCTAAAAAAAAACTGACGTATTGAAGACGATAGAGCACAATCGCGCAATCGTAATGTAGCATTTTTTTGACGGAATAAATGTAATTAATATAATTGAGAACTAGGGTATCGAATTTCAGACGTCAGTAGGGGCGGCAAAAACTGAACATCCTATTGCATATCTAACTGACGTCCAATTACTTGATAAAATCACTTGCCAAAAGATACCACAAGCAACTTTGAGTTATTTAAATAAAGTAATCAGGGCCGTGCCTGGGTATATGGCCGCCTGCGTGCCAGTCTGTATGGCCGCCCCCAGGATAACATTAAAAAAAACTACTTTAATTTTTAATGTTTATTATTTTACACAGGGCATCAAACCGGGAAAAAAAATCAGTTTTTGGCTAACCGAAATCGAGAACGATAAAAAAACTTTTTAAATCGAGAAAACTTTCGAAATCGAGAACGATAAATAAACTTTTTATTAAATTTCACCACACGAACACACAACTAAAAGTTTTCAGGAATTAAGCAATTCATTTTTATTCGTTAAATTAAAGAATTTAATAATATCGGATCACACACAGGACACAAATAACGATTTATCCTCGCTAGTCTATAGACTAATACGACTAATAAGACGAATAAGACCGCTTACGCGACGCCGGTCAATTGAAAAAACTATTTCGGCTCGTCGCTCGTGCAATGTTCGAAAAAATTCGGATTCGCTGCATGACTAGGTATATAAATACTACAACGACCTAATCAGTTTTTATACATTTCTTATTTCTGAGAAACTCTTTTTAGATACATTAGATTAGAGAAACTGTTTTTACTTCGTATCTTAATGAAAACAAACCGATTGTATTTTTGCCCAGTAAACAACTTGTAACGATTTGGCCGCCTCTTAATTTCGGCCGCCTGCGTGCGGTGCACGCAATGAACGCCCGTCAGGCACGGCCCTGAAAGTAATACAGGTTCAACTAGACCATGTATCCAGACTCGAGCAAAAGACACGAACATTAATTTTATTTTCGTAGTTAAAACATGAGAAATTATAACCCAAACTTGCAAACATAATTTTCTTACATCACTTACATCATTCTCATGTTATGCTGACCCTATCAAGTTGAGATAAGGGCGGGATGATGAGGGTAAATTTAAGTAAAAGTCAGTATTTATCAATATTTATTTATTACTAAAAAGCAATAAATAGGGTGAAGATAAACTCTATCAATAAATTAACAAAAGTTTATATCCAACTTTACACATAAACATCATTATATATTTGGCATCACAGTACTTTCAGAATTTGAAGTAGGTCAAAGTTTTAATAAACATGTATAATAACTAATGCATACAAATTGTACAAATCCTTTCGCTCTGAAGGCAGTATGATATTTTTCTTCTCTAGGAGAAGTTATCCAGCTTTTATTAGCACATTAATTTAAAAGAACGAAAGGAATCGAGGATTTTCTAAATCTCGTACTTCCTTATTCACTCCATAAAATATAAAATTAGTGTAACAATTAAGAAGACTTAAATTACCACATACGTAAGTATATTTAAAAAGTTCGCAATGGAAATATAAGAAGACAATCAAATACATAAATTGCTACGACACTAGTAATCTTGAAACATCAATTTGTATTAACGAATTTATTAAATATTCTTAAGATTACATTGTAAACTAAAAATTTATTAGAAATCGAATACAAAACAGCTTAGATTATGGCTTATTTCAGTGAAAGTAGGAGATAGTGTAGTATAAATTATATACGGGCGAATATTTGTAAGAATCAGCTTTTCCACTGGCTGTTCTTGATGCATTGCCAATTTTATACAGTTATGATAAAATGCGCATCTAGACCGCGGCAGACATTGGAAGATAGACTATCACGCCACTGCATTCCACATCCTTTCTTTTAGTATAAACCATTGCTATTAATTTTCGTTATTCGACAATCGCTTTTACCATTTTACTGAATCATTTAGTAGAAATAAAAGATTGAACGTGAGAGAAATGATCTCGTTTAAAATTTTACTTCGATTGGAAAGGTATCGATCTAGGTGGAAATAAAATCAATATGGGACTTTTTTCCTTGCTGTGCTATTTTCTGTATTGTTTTGTTTATTAAAAAAAATATGTTAGTCATTTTACGACCCTTCAATTTTGACGACTTTTTGAGTTAAACAAACAGGTGTAACATTAGTATTAGGATATTTTAAACACCATATACTATAACGATTATTAATTGTTAAAATTGAGATTAATAATCTATAACGTAAAAATTACTTAATACGAAAGACCTCATTAGAGAATTAACTTCTTATTTTATATTTTTCTTGTGCATGATAATTTATAAAATGGTAAAAATATGTACCTATTCGGATCGAATAACGTAATTAAAAATGGCTTCCTTTTTCAAACAGGACCAAAGACGCAAGTCCAAGGAGATTAATGCACCTTCGCAAATTGTTTACTGTAAGAAACAATACCAAAAGACTGTCGTAAATGGCTAAGAATAAAATAATATTACTATATTGCAAATAAAATAAAAGTAGAGCACATTACATTTTATTTTCCTAAACATCTGTTTGTGTTACTATGAAATATTACTGTTAATATAATATGTTATGCGTCCTAAGGTTCAGACTGAATCAAGTTTTTAAAACTTATAAAAAATCACCTATGGTAACGGAATTTTGTTATAACATCTACATCAGCCATACAATAAATATTAACTGCGTCATTTTTGCTTTATTAGCACTCTGTTTCAACACGTCACGCGCACCTGCCAAATATTTGTTGAATGTAACAGAACAATGTTACGGCAAATATCGGCAAACTGTGAACGTAATTGCTAATATATATATTCACTTATATTATGATTGCTACACGTCTACATCTTTTAAATTGATTTTCCTTATTAAAGGCGTGCCGAACAAACGCAGGCCTCAAACTAATCATTCCATCAGGGGTTGCGCCGTAACTTCGAGAAGAACCTGTAAGGTGGTTGACAGAAAATACACATTAATAAATGTGATATCAATCAAAAGTATTCAATATAATTGTTTTTTATTTTATAAAACTACATTGTAATAAAAAAATATATATAACATGAAATATTAGAAATCTACTCGATCAGAGAAAATATTATACGTGCGTAACGCTTAATTCATTTGAAATTCTTTAATTCGTGCGTATTTCATTTGAAAATTTGAATTTCGAAAACAAGATGCGATGTCACATTTAGATGGTGATGCAAAAACTTACCTTCCTCGTGACGTGCTCAGGCAGTGTGATTAGGCGTGACCAGTGGAATGACCTTACCTAGTGTAGAATCGCTATATAAGGTGCCGATCGAACAGTTGTGTAAACCGCCACCAGTAACCAGAAGTCATTGAAAAACAGACAATGGAAGTTAATAAGCCATGTAACATTACAATAAGCCAACACCATTTGAACACCCAACTACGAAGAACGTAAGATGTCTCAGTATTTCATTCTATCAAAAATATTTTTTCCTTCAAAGATACTTGAATATACATTACATATGTATTCAAAATTATAAATATTACAATATAAACATTTCACTAATAAAATTTGATCCTTTTTGTAAATAAAACCTTAGTTAAATGATTTATAATTGGACCATTTAGTTCAATAGGTACACATCTATTCGATCAGTTTACTACTATAAAAAGCAGTTCAAAGTAGCAGCTGGAATTGAAATGATAAAAAAAAAAAACAAAATTTTGATCGAGAACATTTTCATATAATATCTTATGTATAACAACTTACATAGACACCACAAGCGATGCATGCGTGTTTCCTACATTTCGTATTATTGACGAATTTATCTGATATACACCATTGACAAATAACGTATTAATTACGTTTACAAATCGAGAAAGAATCTTTAAATGAAGTTGTTACAATATTTTTGAAGCTATATTACGAATGTCCGTTTGTGACATATGAATTAAAAGCGCGAATTAGGTGTTGTTAAAATTGTTAACCGTTACGATTTATACAAATATCCTAGCAGATCTATCTTTTTAGGTTTGAAATAAAAATAATATAAAATTCGTCACATAAAAATATAAAATAGGTACAAGAGTTACCTATTTTACCTATAGGGCAAACTTTAAAAGTTAATACTACATTTGTATACAAAGCAATGTAAACTATTAAATAAAGAAAACAAAATAAAATGGAATAAATTAGGCAACACAATATATTGATAAGTTATACAATAATCTGATACAAATTCAATTAAAATAAAACTGAATGCTGTAAAAGCGATCTAATTTAATACTTAGTCGTAGCACAGTATTAAAAAGAAAACAAAGTATAAAAATAATAAATAAACGGAGGCAAGATTAAAAGACATGATTAATTAACTTTAATTAAAATGATTTGAATAAATTATAAAACACTAAAGCTAGGTAATGCAAATAAACATAAAACTTGACTCTTTCAAATATTAAATCTATATAAGTTACATAATTAAAATGTTGATATAAATAACATTCATTTTTTTCTCATTCTTAATCGCTATTTGACTTGTATGTTGATTTAAGGTTTATTTTAGACAAATGTAGTACTTTGAAAAACACTTAAATTTAAAGTACCTACAAGTCTACTTAAAGTCGTAAGATTTTTATGCGAAACGGTAAAACCGAAACAGCAAGTTACATAAATACTTGTACTTTATTGTACGAAAATGTCATAAATCTAAATTGTCATAACAAAATAAAATAAGCGATCTTATAACACAATTTCGTATAGCGATCACTTCACTGGAAACGTCACATTCATAGTACTTAAGATAACAGTTATACGACAAAAAACCGTTTCGATTATTCGACACGTCGCTGATAAAGAGGATAGGTAGATGAAAAACACATACATAAATATTATGAAAAGAGCGTTAGATTGTCAAGATTAAATTTTGACGATCATTCGATTGTAAATCTATCGAATGATTGTCACAAAATCGAAACGACCTTTATGTCACAACACAATACCGTATTTAACATCAATAAATAATAAAACTAAACTATATCGTACACATCGTTCAGCGTTCGTAGGTCGTTCGCGGCGAATTATTTCTTCCTCTTAAGCTTCGGTATTCTGTAATGCGGTGCAGGTGATGTTAGATGAAGCAATGTGTGGTTCAACATTAGGACAAGACCTTTCTAATGTATGCAGGAATAAATAAATAAATAATTGCTTTGTGCAACAAAGGTCAAGCAAAATTAATTTGAATGACTCATAGAATGTTCGAAGATAGATTTTTTTTATTAAGTTTAAAACACAAATTGATTACTGAATGAATTCACTTCAAAACCAACGATAAAAAAAGTTAAAAAACAAAAAATATTATGTATTGACCGCCACATAATAAAATGCAAGATGCATTTGGTGAATTAGTCGAGTGCGGTATCATGTGATCAGTTATTTACATTTTTACATTCGACGAATATAATGTCATATAACTTCTTAATTGGGCGATTTTTATTAGGCAATTTAAGTAGGAAATATTGCACAAAATTTTAGTATAATATTTACTACTTATTTTTAAAAATCGATCAATTGACTAGATATATTTTAGGTAAAAATTGACATACCCTGAACTTTTCTTGTGAGGGGAAGACTGTGCTTTTTCCGATTCCAACAACTTTGTGGTGGAATCTTTCTTCGCGCCTGAAATTGTCGAAATTAATATAAATATAAAAACCAATTAAATTGTTAATTTTAAGTGTGAAACCTGCATTTTCAAAATAATAACAAAAAAAATATTTCGAAGATAATTGTGTGAAGTCTGCCAATCGGCAGTAAGGCCGCGTGGTCTTATGCTCTAACACCTCTGTACAGAGGAGGCTTTGGCCCAGCAGTGGTATAGGTCGTTATTATTTTACTTTTATAAATAAACACACAAACCTTGGTCGAAAGCCCCGAAGGTATAGCTTCCAATAGCGTCAATACCGCTTGCCAACTTGTCGGCCCCACTGGTTACACTGCTAACCACACTCTCTTCAGCACCTTTCAGATCATTTTTCATAGCCACTTTCGTATCGTCTAAAGCCGCACCGGCGTTTTCCAGGCCCTCATTAGCGGCCGCCTTCACATCCTCAAGTTTGTTGTCAGCTGATATTTGGAAGCCTTCGAAACTATTCTTCATCTCGCCAAACAACTCTTTAGACTGTGATTCGACGTTTTGGACAGTATTTTGAGCACCACTGACGTATTCCTTCACAGACTCATCCAAACTGTCGAACGTATTTCCAGCGGAGCTTTGGAAGCTGTGTAATGTATCTTGTGCGGAGCTTTCTAAGCTCGTTACGTCGTCTCTCATGTCGGCATAAGTATCTCTGGTCGAACTTTGTAAATCCTCCCAAGCTTCCTTAGCGCTGTTTGATTTGTCCTTTGCTGCACCATCGATTTTTTCAAAAGCACTTAATGTTGTTTTCTGAACATCATCCACAGTTTGTTTTGAAGATTCCTTGAGGTCATTGATTTTCTCGCTTGTAGCGTTGTTTATTTCATCGTATTTTTCTGCAACGTCATTTTGTATATTTGCAGCTTTGTTGGAAGCTCCGTCCATAAGCATACTCCCAGATTTTTTTATTTCTTCTGTAGTTTGAATGGCCTCTTGCCAGATCTTTTCTAGCTCGTTCCGTGCTTCGCTTTGTACTTCATCCTTAGTATGCCTTAAGTTATCTATATTATCTTCGACTATTTTCACAACTGCTTCCTTTTTAATATTTGCAGCCTGTTTAACTTCATCAGTTTTATCAACCACGGCTTTCACAGCTTCGTCTTTCTTATCTTTGATTGCTTGCTGTACTTCAGTTTTTTTTTCTTCGCCTTTTTGTACTAAACGTTCAATATCGTCATCCAATTCTTCCTTCTTCTTTTCGATACTTTCTTCAATTGCAACTTTCTTCGATGATGCATTTTTTAACAACTCATCGGCAGATTCCTTGGTTTGTGATATTCTCTCTTTTACTTTGTCCGTTTGCTCCTGCGCAATTTTTTCAACAGATTCCCTACTTTTCACTAATTTATCATTAATATCATCCTTCTTTTCTGAAGCTTGTTTCACTAATTTATCTGTAAAATCCTCCGTTTCAGATACCTTTTCCTTTATTTCATTTTCAATTTTGTCTTTCTCACCGAAAATATTATGGACCAAGCCAGTAAAGAAGTTCTTGCCTTCCTTCTTCTTCTTCTTTACCTCCGTTTCAACCTGATCTTTCTTTTCATCAGCTTTTGACTTTAGATCAACAGCAGCTTTTTGAGTTTTATCTTTAACATTGTTAAGAGATTCATTAACATCGTTAATTTTTTTGTTTGTAGTATCTTTAACGTGTTCGACTTTATCTTCTAAATTACTTTTTACATCTTGTGCTTTATGGTTTAAATTTTCTTTCAAGTTATTTACAGACTGTGAAACTTCATTTGACTTTTGATTTACGCTATCCCTTGCATTATTTACATGTTCATCCAAGGCATGCATTTGGTCGAGTCCTCTCAGCCTCAATTCTTCGGCTCTTTCTCTAGCGGCAAAGTCAAGTTCAACGGCTTTGTTCTCTAATTTGCTTTTGGCAAGATTAGTAGTTTCAGCTAATTCACTGAGAGTGTCCTTAGCGGAAGACTTAGTGTTTTCGATTTCAGCTTCAATTTTTGACTGTATTTTATCCTTTTTCTCAATGGCATCTTCATTTAATTTATTCAATTGATCTTTGAGGGCTTTTTCGGATGCGTTTGATTTTTCTTCTATGGTTGATGTCCAATCATTACTTTCATTTTTCAAGTTATTCTTTAGGTCATCTGCTTTTTCCTTTAAGTCATTAGTGAATTCATTAGATTTTTGCTTAAGGTGATCTTTTTCATTCTCAAGCTTATCTAAACCGTCTTTAAAGTCATTATGATCTTTATCAGGGATCTCATCAAGTTTTTCGTGTACGGTGAAGTTGATTTGTTCGATCCTATCCACTAAATTTGATGTTTCGTCGTGTCGGTGCATTTGGTCTTTTCTGTATTTGCCTTCGCAGCAGCCGGTGTAAAATTGGAACGGGTCGGACGTCTTGCACCGGAGAGGGGTCTCGACCGGTTGCATATTCTCATACTGTTTGTATACTTCTTCGGTGATGTCATGGAGACCTGATGGTCGATCGCTCTCTTCGTCGACGATCAACTTGGTGGAATACACATGGCTGTCCAATTCGTCCTCGTCTTTGCTGTGCGGTTTGCGTTTGATGTCCTTGAACATGTCGTCGACTTTCTCGAGCAGGTCTTCGGTTATGAGTCTAGGCGCCGGTTTCGGTGGACTTTTGTCTTTGGACTCACGAGGCTTCGGTTGAGGTTTGGGCGAGGATTCTTTGACATCTTCGTTGGTATCCTCGCTATGGCCGAATACATTCTTGACCTTGTCAGCTATGCCGCCAAAGAATGAACCGCCTTCGGGCTTCTTCTTTCCCTTCTCCAAAGTGTTCATCGGCGTTTTATCTTCATCGGAATCGAACGTTGCTTTGGTTTTGTTCGAGTCCACGTGCACAGTGCCTCCGTTCACTGAAATCATTGTATGTTTATTATATTATTTGCTTTTATGCGCAACGGTATATTCCCGTTTTAAGTACGACAATGTCTCACCTTGAGGTTTTGTGTCTTTGTCTTCCGTATCTTTTGTTGGATATTTGACATCACCATTACTAATTATTTTGTGCTGGAAATTTAAAAGCAGCAATGAGTATTCAATTCTATGTCATAATCAAAAGAATATAATAAAAAAATAATGCAGATTCTTACGTGTCCGTTGACGTGGTGGTCTTGATTCGGTAAGGAAGCGGGACCCAGGCTGTTGTTATGGTCACCCCAATGGAAGCTCAGTTCGTCTTTCAGAGCATCAAAGCCTGTAAAAAGAAACATTTCTTTTAATATTTCATATTGGTACGTCACTTTTCATATGATAAGTGACAGTTATACAGATCGCAAGTCAGTAGTAAACAAATGCTATACACAAACCAGATTGATCCAGGTTTAGGTAGTCCATCTGGCTCTTCGCCGCTCTGGGCGCGATACGCTCAGGCAACTCCACGTCCAGCACGCACGCTGGGGTCTGGGATTGTTCGCCCTTCGCTACCTGCGAACATACAGACAGACATACAAGTGAGAAAAAGTAAAGTATCAAGCAAACACAGCTGGGCCAAGGGTCCACCGACCCCACTGCGCATTGATAGATTTTTATTATTATGAATTTAGAAAATGTGCATGTTTACTCACGATGTTTTTTTTTTTTCACCGCTTAGAACCTGATAGGACATACACATAAGCGCAAAAGTAGAAGAGCTTGCAACAAGCGCTGACTTTTCACGTGCTCAGCCGTGAAGGAAAACGTGGTCCCCCGTGCATACTTTTGAAATATGTTATTATAATTAAAAAGTAAAGCTATTTCGATAGGTGAATTCCGCCAGTCCACCATTGTGGCACACGGTGGTCTATGCTCTTAAACCCTCTTTATAATTATTTTTATAATTAGAAGGCCATTGTTCAGCACTGGAATATATGTTGGCTTTTACTTAAATAAAATTTTATAATTTGCCGTTCATGTGCAGTTGTCGCTTTTAATGTTAACTTTACGTCCGGTTTCTGAAACACTAATCATCGTAGACAGCTGATTAGTTAACTTCTACGATGATCAGTGTTTCAAAAACCGGTCTTTAGTCTGATAAACTCACTTAATACTCACTTTAGGCTCATTCATGAAGTAAACACGTCCCGAGGGATTCTCCTCGTGATGTTTTACCCGAACTGTGAATTCAACACGATTGTCCTTGAAGGCCTGCAATGAATAAACATTTATAATATTTTTAGGACACATTTTTACACAACGTTCTCTAGAACCAAATTAAGCAGCGAGCAACGCTTGTACTGTGGGTACTAGGTAACTGATAAACATACTTTTCTTTTGTAAATGAATACATATTATAACTCTAGACATATAGATATAAGATATAAAACATCTAGACACTGGAATAACATCATGTTCATCACATAAAAATTTTCCAGTAGTGGGGTTCAAGAGGCATATTCAATACTCCAATCGGGTATAATTATTTTTATAATCATTAATTCGAGTATATTTGTAAGTTCCATTCTTTTTTAAATCGAAGGCATATATCTGTATTTGCTATGTTCAACTTATAACTACATATCGAGATTAAAAAAAGGATTTAATATTAATTTTAGTACCTGGAGGACCGGTTTTTTTTTTGGTAAATCGTGTATTTTGGAAATTACATTTAGATACAAATTACCTGAGTAATACCGACCGAGCTATTATAACATTTTTTTTTGCGGCGAAATTTACCGTAATATTCGAATGATATTTTTTTCCCTGAAAACAGGGATAAAAGGACATTTTCTAAAAATGAAACCTAGTTAGATCGATTTTTCGTCCCCGAATCTACGCCCATACTAAATTTCATGAAAATTGCTGCCGTTTCCGAGAATATCTATTAATAATATAATATATTGGTGCTTATGAACGATTGTTCTGATACTATAGCTGGGCCTACCTCGAATGTGAACATCGGTTGGCTGCCGGATTTGGTCACTGGCACCAGGTTGCCAGAAAACTCCAGGTAGACCTCTTTGCCGTCGAGGAATCTCACCGCGGTGGAGTGAGCGATTTCCGTGTAGTGTTCCTAAAGGAAAAGAAGAAAACTGAGTTTTCTGTTGCAAAAAGGAAACCTGCAAATATTTTTTTTACAGTACAGAACAGTTCATTAGTCGACAATTTATTTCTATTTCTTTAAACATTGTCCCTTTAGAATAACATTATACTGTGCTGTAAGGTCGTTTTACATACATAAATTCCAGGTGGACAAACACCCAGAATTATCTGTGGGCCTCAAAAAAAAGTTTTCTCGTGTGGAAATCGAACCCTAGTGCGCCGACGTAAAAAGAGGCGTGGCGTAAGTTTTAAGTGTCCGCGTGTAAGTGTGTCTGTTTATGGCGTCGTCGCTTCTAAACGAAAGGACCGATTAACCAATTATTATGTCGTTATTTGTTTAGACGCTAACGCGATCGAGAAGGTTCTTAGTTATAATTTCAGCCCTTTTGGGGTCACTTGAAATTTGTAATTTTATTACAGTACACATCGTCACGTTTAACCGACTGATCTAACCAGTGTTATAAGTTACGACAGACGATGAAGCTGATGATTTCTATCGCTCACCTGCTGCAGCAGGGTGTCGTAGGCGTATCTGTCGGTTATGTAGAGAACCAGAAGTCTGCCCTCCAAAGCGTCCAGCCGTTTGCCGAGCACCACTATTCGCACCTCGAAGGGCACCAGTAGCATCTCCCTGAAAACAACAGAAATACATCATCCGTGAACATTTCAACTGTCCAACTATCACGGTTCATGAGATACAGCCTGCTGACAGACGGACAGACAGACAGCTGAGTCTTAGTAATAGGGTCCGTTTTACCCTTTGGGTACGACTTCACTTTGCTATAAACGACTTCATAAATCTCCGGAGCGCGAGGTACAATTTATTTGCGAACCGAATGCAAAAGTAATTTTTAAAAATCCGGTTCATAAATGACGTAGTTCTACGGTAACATACGTTAAAATAATATATGAATAAATATTCCAGAACATATTTTATAAGCAAAGCTTGAGAGACATGTTTTATAACATTTTTTAAACTCGGTTGAAAATTATGCACACTCTTCTGTAAAGAAACTTTGCCCAGCAGTGACATAATACGCTGATAGCGTCATACACTTTACTCGTCAGTATTGTAGCTCATAAATAAGCACAGCTTAATAAGGTAGGTAGGATTTTACATTTGACCGGTTAATATAGTATCTGCTGAGGGGTATATGGGTTGTCTGATTTGTAATACGATAAAAGTATGTTTTGTATAATATTTTATTAAACTTCGCAGATCCTGATTTAACGATTCATTCATCACATTCATTATTTTAGTATGTATATGTAATTTAAAAAATCATACCTGTATAGTTCAGTTGCCAGCTTGGTCGCGTCACTGACATTTTGACAGTTCATCAACCAGAATCTGAAACACACACAGGTGGTTAAAGATGAGAGTGTTTTTTACACATAATAACTCCCACTAAAGTTAAGGTCAACATATTATTTAAACCTGTCCGAAAAATGGGCTTAAGTGGGCCAAGTGTTTAAAATATATTATAAAGATAACAAAGAAAAAATGTAATTGCTAAAAAATCCACCATCCATATAATATAGTATATTTTTCTGTACGAATAGTAAGACAACTACTTAATGTAGTTGTCTTCCTTAAGGAAATGTGTATTGATAACAATAGAGGTTAAATAATGATTACTAAAACCATAACTTATTATAGTTCAGTAAGCTTTTCTATTCTGAGACATAGGTATATAACACTAAATGTATGTATGGAGGGCAGAGTATATAGTACCATTTTTACCGTAAAATAACACAAACACGACAAATAATTTCCTCATTCTAATGCAATCTTATATTTTAACTAAGTAGGTATAGTGTATGTGTAGTTAAATCGATTCTTTTGATAGAATTGGAATAAAATATCGGAAAAATAGTGCTGTGATAACTCAATGTCCGGACACTACCGTTTAATTCAATCCATTCGAGCAACCTGTATGTGTGTGAAAAAGACACACAGCCAAAACCACTTACGAAATGAATCACACATTGTGCCGACCCCTAGGTTGGATAAGGTCAGGAGGATGATACGATTAAAAACAGTAGATGTTAAGAAAGTGTGGCGTCGACTGTACCTGGCCGAAACGGTGGTGGTGAAGGAGGCGCAGTCTTCGGTGAGCGTGAGCGGGGTCGAACCCGTGACGTCCTCCCAAACGGCGCGCGCCTGCCCGCCCATTATCGAGCACAGCAACCGCAGGGTCGACGTGGACTGTTTGTCGTGACCCTGCGGGAAGGGCCAACGTTTCCTCAAACTGTTCTCTATTAAATCAGTAATGCCTTAGTTCGTAATAAATTAGGAGCATTTCAGCTAGGAAGTTCAATTTAGAGTAACCAATGAGTTCCGTCCTAGATTATTTTTCTTTGTAACTTTTTAAAAGGCTTGTAAAACTGAATTTTAAATATCTAACAAGGTGAGAAATTCTAACTAAAACAATCTCAGGGACCGTCTCAATCGATCGCATTTTTTTTCTGATATCTGTCAATTTGTTATGCTTTATGGCACTGACAGTCTATGTTCATTTTAAATACAGAACGCGTTGAGCTATTAAAAAAAATGGCAGTATAACTACTGATAAATTGTGTGAAAAATAAAAGATACTTTTTAATTCTTCACTTATTTGCGAGCACCGTATGGTGACCGGCAAAAAAGGGCATTCAATTGCGCAGTATGCATTGATATAGGCAGGGAATTGACCGTGTAAGCCGACTCGATCGGTTGCACTAAACGGTAAAATGTTTGTGTTTTACAGTAGCGAGGACGAAATCCATATCCTCTAGGCAAGAGAAAGGTTCTCTAGGCACTATGCCAATACAGTCATTCAAATTTGGAACGCGGTTCGTGCGTACGTTCGCGTACGAACGCGTTCGTTCTTTTTTTTCGAATGTATTTGTTCTTTTCTTCGAGGCGTGTTTTCGCGGGGCGTGTTTACTCTTCTCAAGCGGACGCGCGCGTTTCTCACACGACGTTCGAATTTGGAACGCGGCTCGGGCGCGTTGGCTCGTTTTTTCGAAAGCGTTTATTCTTTTTTTTTTTGGGGCGTGTTCCAAGCCAGCACCCAATGCGCGGGCAGCGGCACGGTGAGTGTGATGCTGCGGTGGAATTTACGCTGGCGCGGCTCCACCGTGAGCATGGGACGCGCGCGTATTTCGAACATCATTCAAATTTGGAACGCGGATCGGGCGCGTTCACCCTCATGAGTTTTCGAACGCGTTTATTCTTTTTTTTTGGGGCGTGTTACAAGCCAGCACCTGGTGCGCGGGCAGCGGCACGGTGAGCGTGATGCTGCGGTGGAACTTGCGCCGGCGCGGCTCCACCGTGAGCACGGGCGAGACGGCCGCGTGGCGCGGGAGCACGCGCCTCGCCAGCTCGGGCGCCGCGCCGTGCGCCTGGCAGCCCCACGCGGATGCGCTTCGTCAGCGCCTGCGGCGGGAACAGCGCCTGCACCTGCGGGCGGAGACGAGCTGTGTTACCGGCGTCTGTCTGCAGGTTATTTTTTTATGCGATAAGCTGGCGAGCGAGGTTGACCTGGTGTTAAGTGATAACCGCCGCCCATGGACATCTGCTACACCCGAGGGTCACAGATGTGTGAAAATCGTTTGGAAATTGGTCTCCGGCCACCTCACTCACCACACACACACACTTCCACTTCACACCGGTCTTCTGTGAAGTGGAAGTGCTACTTACCCGGACGAGCCTGCCTATTCACGCAACAGCCGAGGCTGCTGCGTGGCCCTACCACAGTTAAATAAATGCTTACAACACTGACACTGGCGTAGAATTCGTGATAGCAGGCTCCGTTTTTAATTTAGTACATTCGAACGACCCGAGTTCAAATCCCGGTGCCAACACGAAGCAGCCTTCGAAGTACGTGAACTGGAACACCCACCGGTAACGGCGAACAATCGCTCACTGCACCGTCACTGCGTCGTCTGCAGTGTCTGTTCCTGCAGTATCCGTTCCCGCGGCGCTCACCTGCGGGATGTGCGCGCTGGAGACGGTGCCGCCCTCGGGGCCGATCACGTGCACCTCCTGGCGCACGCGCGACACCACCGCCAGGTAGTGCGGGAAGTCGCACGTGACCACGCGCGTCACGCGCTCGCCGCTCTCGCCGAGCGTCTCGCAGCTGGGGCCGTGCTCCTGCCGCTCGCGTGCCAGCGCCTCCTGCGAATGTGCCGTGTATTGCTATGGGGTGAGGTGTCATTATGGCTTGGCAAGTTATCGTGATATTGCGTTTATTGCTAATGGATTAGGTGTCATTATGGCTTGGCAAGTTATTGTGGCATTGCGTTTATTGCTATTGGAATAGGAGTCATAATGGCTTAGCAAGTTATATTTCGTTTATTGCTATTAGATTAGGCTTCACTATGGCTTAGCAAGTTATCATGATATTGCGTTATATTGCTATTGGTTTAGTTGTCATTATGGCTTGACTAGTTATTATGATATAGCATTTATTGCTATCGAATTAGATTTGGTCATTATGGCTTGGCAAGATTTTATGATATCGTGAACTATATAGACTGAATTGTGAACATACCGCCCACCATGCCTTAGCGTAACTCGTGTACACCATTATTGCTTTAGGTGTCATTACTGGTTGTCAGGTTTTGCTTTTTATAACGGGTTGTACCATTTTGGCGTTTATTGTTTAGGGTTTACCGTACATAACAAAACTAGGCTCCTAAAGGATTATGATGGTTAATATTCTTTCGTGAAATATACTTTTTGTAATTGCACCGTATCGATTTGTTAGTTTAGATTGTGTTTTGTGTGTAATGGACCCCTAGTCTTTTTACTCGGTTAAGCGTTAGCGACGAATTAATGAAAGAATAATTGAACGAATGAACGGGTGAATGAATAATTGTATCAAGCGCTAAACGATATCTTACATCATGAAAGTAACTTAAGCATTCTTGAAGTAAATGAGATGGAATCAACAAATATTTTAGCAGGCATTTTATTGTCTTTTTACCTGTATCAGTGGGTTGTCGTTGTTGTGGAGGTAGTGGTCCTGCCAGGTCTCGCCGGTGTCCGAGCGCAGCACGACGATCTCTCGTTCGCGGCACGACGCGGTGAATATGGGCACCTCGATTATAACGGGACTGAAATAAGGAAACGTGTGAATAGATATGTTTAGTAAAAAAAACTATATGTGCAGTAAGAAGTTATACTTGTGTAGCAACAAAAATAACTAAAAATGTTCGATTATTACGAGACTGAAATAAGAACGGCACATTATGAATACGTATTAAGTAAAAAAAAATATACGTGTGTACTTATGTACGCACGTAAGAAGTTACACTTGTTTAGCGTAATATAAAAAATAACTATGAATGTCGTCTCAGATGCCATTCATTAATCTTTGTTTGTGAAAAGGCAACATTAACTGCAATTGACAACGATTTAAAGAAATAACTCGAAATTATAGGTAAATGACAAAAAGCAGTTATTGGTTGCCATGGTAATGCCGTGAAGTTGATCGAAGTTGGTAGCTTCGCAACTTCATCATGTCGCTTTTTGGTCCGTGTGCAAATGCTGTAAGTGTAAAAGTTTACTCTCATATTTTTTTTCATATGCGCCATATTAAGGATAACTCCAATAATAATTTTGTAAAAAGAACGCGACATTGATAAAGTGTATAAGTTTTCTTTAGTATGAGAAGAACTCACGCTAAGAATTTAGCCCCCTGCGGTTGCAGCTCAAGGAGTCTTGAAGCTAGGGCTTCGCCCTCCATTAGGGGTGGGGGCGCCGCCGCCGGAGCGCGGCGTGTTGCGGCACTGAAACATTCGAAATATAAAAACAACCAAAGTTAAAGTCAACATTTCTTTATTCAATACTAGCTGGTACCCGCGACTTCATCTTCGAAAAAAATTCAGGCCTCGGGGATTCGAACTTTCGTCCTTTGAACGCGGTTCAAATCACCAGGTCTTACGGTCTCTATTAAACTAACAAGTTAAACTCACATTTAAATTCCACCTTGAGTGAAAAAACTAAAAATTAATCCTAAATTATATAAGTAAAAAAAAAGTAAAGTAACAACCTATACATGTCCCACTGCTGTGCAAAGGCCTCCTCTATATAGAGGGTATCAGGGCATAGTCCACCACGCGGCCCCACTGCGGATTGGCGGACTTCACATATCTTCGAAATATTTTTTTTTGTTATTATTTCGAAAATATGCAGGTTTCCTCACGATGTTTTCCTTAACCGCGGAGCACGTGATAAGACAGCACTTAAAGTTAAAAACTTCATTGGTGCCGGCACCGGGATCGACCTCAGGTTGCTCGAGTATTATGAATTAAAGGCGAGAGCCCGGACACTGAGCTATCACGACTCATTATATGTGACGACAGAAAAAAAATGTTGCAATGTAAACCGGAACTAAGTCTTGAGTGTTTTATCTCACCTGAAGAACGTAGCAACACCGGATTTCGTCTTTCTTTTGCTTATCAATATTTTATTAGTCCATTCAACATTTTATAACATGCTCAGCGGTGAGGGAAAACATCCAGAGGCAACCCGCATACTTTCGAAACAATAAAAAAAAATGTTTCGAAGAAATGTGAAGTTTGCCTGACAGCAGTGGGGTCGCCTGGTTAACTATACTCTCTGTACAAAGAAGACCTCTACCCAGACATATTGGCGGTTACTAAACTGTTGGTTTGGAGTCTTTTACAGTTCTGCTACAGCGAAAATACAGAATAAATAGAATACAAAGAACAAATTAGCTACTTCGAAATTATCGTATTAGAATCGGTTTTAAAAATGCTTGCCAAATCCCAAATTGGCAACATTAGTCACTTCAACGTGGGTCCAAATTGAAGTGATATATGTCACTTACATTACAATCATAATTACAAACACATTTAACTCATCACGTTTATGTTTGTGATAACACATTAAAATAATGAGTATTAGGTTATACTTAATGGTTAACTCATTAACCATTTAGGGAGGTTTATGGAAAATTTCGCTTCGTTGCTGGAGCGAGTTACTCTACCACTTAGTTACATTTACCAACGATATCTTTGGTATATGGCTGGGTTTTATTAATTTAACGCTCGATAAGATATGTTGCACTCGAACGACATTGCGTGTCAAACAGTCCATTGAACTGAAATATGACCGCTGCAAGTTCATCGATTTCTTTTAATCTTTTCCAGCATGCATTTTGTTTGTCGAGCAAACGTTTTGGTTTGCTGAATTATTGAAATAAGGGAAAACAATTAATAAATAAATTCTCAGTGTCATTGTCATTTACTTTAGGTATTTAATACTTTATAAGATGACATTTATATATTCAGTTTGCTTCGTTGTTCATCAGCCACACAGCTAAGGAATAGAGCTAATCAAAGTAATATTATTAGTTGGACGTCATAAAACAAATGGCAAATTGTCATCAACGAAATTGGCGATGTAGTTTCTTATTTATTAGGTTACCACGAATTTAATTGATGTCGTATTTAAAGCGAATTTGAATTCGTGTCGTACGTATAGATTATATTGAATGAGTTACGATTTTAATTTATTCGCAGACATAAAGAAAAGAGTAGAAAAATTTATTATATTGAATTAATATTGATTTATTTAAAATTAATAGCTACGGTATAACACAATTTTGTTTTAAATTTTTAATGTTTTATGTGTAATGACCTCAAAAATCGTCAATTAAAACGGAACGGAACACGCAGTGACATGTTTTAAAATGTACGCAAATGAACATAAATTAGGCACATTAAAATAAAACGAAAATAAACAAACAAAGTATGCGTCATCTGCCCGCGTGCGTCGTGGCAAACTCCCAAAAGCGCAAATGAACTTGCCAAATAAATGACCGCCAATGCGTGCTGAATAAGTGCACTTTGTATTATTACTATATTTCTGTTTTGAAACTATTGTTAGCTCGCAGATAAAAATAACAACGAACTCATTAAAACGTTTACGGTTAATTTATTTTAAAATTAATAATAAAATAGAGAGTGTGTGTACTTACGTACTACGCACGTAACAACTTATAGGTACTTTTTGGCGTAATTAACAAATAAACTTTTTGTATTCAAACAATCATGAACTGAGCATAGACGAAACAAAATAAAAATTCAACAATAAATTTTTTCTTTAAATATTTTTTTTAAATTTAATTAATTTTTCTAAGATTCGAAAATTTCTCGGCTATAATCTTTTTTTGGGCAAGTGCGGCATTACTTACGAGTACAAGGACATTTTTAAAAAGGGACGGAGGTTTCGCTCCACGTATAAGTGCCTATACATAAAAGTATCAGCCTATACATGTCCCACTGCTGGGCAAAGGCCTCCTCTATATAGAGGGTATCAGGGCATAGTCCACCACGCGGCCCCACTGCGGATTGGTGGACTTCACATATCTTCGAAATTTTTTTTTTGTTATTATTTCGAAAATATGCAGGTTTCCTCACGATGTTTTCCTTCACCGCGGAGCACGTGATAAGTCAGCACTTAAAGTTAAAAACTTCATTGGTGCTGGCACCGGGGATCGAACTCAGGTTGCTCGAGTATATTGAATTAAAGGCGAGCGCCCGGACACTGAGCTATCACGGCTTATACATATAGAAGATAAATAAGAAGATAAATAAAGAAACGATACAATGATGAACATATGTAAGAAGATGGCAAGCGAGCTGGCGGTTCTATCTGGAAATTTACTATACCATTAGGGTTACAGATGCGTTGCTACTTTTTAATAAAGCAGGCCCCGTTTACCTTACTCAACAGACGAGACGAAGAAGTATAAGACTTCGACTTTACGTCGGACTTATGTGAAGTCATGGTACTTATTCGGACCTGCCCATTCGTGTAATAGCGAAGACCTTACCTTGCCACCGTTAAAGGTGAAGAGAAAATAAAAATACTCACCGGCACGTGACCCTGGTGGGCGCAGCACAGGCGGCGGGCGGCACTATTATGCGAACACCACCACGCCGTTTCGCCTTCATGGCACCACCGCGCGCGTCCACCACGAACGATACCAGGAACCTGAGTAAGAAACATACGGTTCATCCCTGATTACATCCAAGACTGAGACAATCAAAGTCGAGGTAATTTTTTTCTATTCAATTTGCCCCCTCTCCAAGGACTCTCGTAGCCACGCCAAAATATTGCACAAATTAGCAAACGTAATCTGGCCACATAGGAAACGGCAAGGAATAGCAGTCAAAAATATATCTGGTTTTATTTTTATTTTTTTTTAATTATATTTTTCCCGGGGGTAAAGATATTCGATTCCGGCAAGAGGCAAGAATTTGTGTTATCCACATATAATCGTTCCGGATCTGAGAGTTTATACTCAAAAAGAAAAAAATACTGTAGAATTGACAACCTCCTTCGTGTTTGAAGTCAGTTGAAAAAGGTCGGGGAGGCAGGCAGTCGGTCATAAAAACGCAGCCAATACTATTAACAACAAGATTCGCATGTTGTGCCGTGCCCACCTAGGAGGGATGAGGGAAGGAGATAATGCACGAAAATTTTTACTGGCTTCATAAACGACGACTTAACACTTTAGGTCCAATATTAAGACGGAAATAGTTTCGTCATAAGATTGGATTCGTCACAAGATTGGAGGGCCCTCTCTGACATTGAATAAAGTTTCCGGGAACAGCAAAATGACCCATAGAATCCCCCTCAGGACAGATAGTACTTATGTTTTGAAGATCTTCGAAACACCAAAAAAAAAAGCCTCTCGTTACAATTAAAAAGAAAAGAACAAAGTATACAAAGCGATGACGTTAGCGGTGCACAAACGAAGAAACGAAACCAACAGATAAAATTACAGAACACACAAGAGGTATAGAAGTACCATCTGTTTTGCATAAACCAACGCCTGTTTAAGTGATAAACGAAGGCAAATGGTTCTTTGTTGACTGTTGTAGTGAGAATTAAAAGGGGATAATGAAAACCAATTAGAAAGAATCGACGCAATTTTACACGAGGAAAAAATAACTATGAAACATGAATGTACACGCGGACTACACGTGTGACAGGACCGTAACGAGTGCATTGTGTGTACCAATTGTATCCTTAGACGACATTGTCATCCAACGATAGACATCACAGTGAATGAGGCAATGCAATTTCCTAACCTTGGCTACGTATGACATAATGTAGTGTATAAGAAGAAGTGTGCTGAGCCGATATAAGGTGCTCAGTTTTATTTCGTAGCTCCTTCTGTTACATTTTCTCTTTTATCTTACTCGGTAAATTCTAAATTAATTAAGATTACACCTTCAAGCTTTATCTTTATATTCATTAACGAAAAGTTCATTCACATTACATTTATTTGTGACAAAATCGCTTGTTGTTACAGAAGACATGAAATCGAGTGTCGTCTTTAGTAAATTTTTTTATCTTTCTAAATCACGCAAAATTTTACCACGCATAATCGTAGTATAATCAGTATGAGATCACCGATTTTATTTGAACGCTCGGAGACCTTGACTCATGTGGTTTGCTTTTAACGCAAACACGTTTCATAATTCCTATCAGGTACGTTTTACTATGTACACACAATAAAAGTTACGTCAGTCAATTAATGACTCTGGGGGTCTAATACTCTAGGTTCAAGTAAATAATTATAATTTAGATTTGTCTAATAATATGATGTATAAAAATCAATAGGTAATTATGATGAGATTGTTTGGAAAGTACCGAATTAGATTATTATATTTGTATTTTTAATACTGGCCTACTTGGTTGATATAGTTGTTTCCAATATAAAAAGCTTATTCATGGGTAAAAAGTAATCCATATACGATTACCAGTATCCTGGAAGGTAAATTATCAGAAATCATTAATTTATTATTTATTAGATTCTTCGTAGGAGACAATCATTACAAATTACCTCTTATATATATATATATAAATTACCTCTTATATCACTGCGCGCTCAAAAGTCAATTTTGGCCTGGTCAAATGAAGTCAATAAAATAAAAGTGAGATTCTTTTACCCGATGTCGACGGGCTGGCGTTCGATGGTGGCCACCTTCTTGTCATTGTTGCTGGGCCACAGGTGGCCATCCGTGACGCTGTCCTCGAGGGGCTTGGCCCGGTGCAGCGTTCCCACCTCGGTGTTCATGTAGCGATATTGCTGTTGCTGCTGGATGGGACACTCCACTTCTCCTGCGGAAACGAATTGCCTCATTGGGATAATGTTTTGAAACATTCACCAATATACAATCTAAGACGCGCATTGCAAATATCAACAGTGTCGCGGTTTCTGGTAAGTTCAAAATTCAGATTTCAAAAAACAATAAGACCATAATGATAATATAATAATGGGGAAGGTGAAAGTCGTTCAAAGGTTCAAAGACTTGCAACTCTGAATCCTAAGTGAATACTAAAATTTGAAAATGTCCTTTTAAATTAAATTCCGCTATTCTACTTGTCAAGTAGGACATACGCTATTAAAACAATAGTGCAGGTCAAGAAAAGCATAATTTGCTAACAAGGTAGAATTTAATTTCATTCAGGTTTATTTTGGTAATCATCACCATCGTCCAGTGCTAAGGCCCTTTGGACTTCCAATGTAAGGTATATTGGAAGATAGGGAATCTCACTTGACGGTCATGTAGATGAAGTCCGAAGAAGTTTTAACGGTTTACATACCTCCTTCGTCTTCCGAGTCGCTCATGAAGGTATCTTGCATGAGCTCAGGCGCCGCTACACGGTATTTTCCTTCTATTCCACCTGAAACAATTAAATAACAGTGTTACTGACGATGGATGAATTTAATATTTATTTCTTGGATTAATTTTTACTTTTAGTCCTTATCTCTGCACTCAAGATGAAACTTGAAATTTTGAGTTTAAGTATACATGTGTATAAATAAATGAAGAAGGTTTCGCGCTTATACGATTTTATTTCCTCTGAGTTATATCACTTAAAATTAGCCTTAACATCTTTTAAAATGAACGGGACCCAGGTAAAATGATTTACGTTTTATAGATGCTTATTTTGTTCCAAATATGATGACAGGTATTGCCTAATTTTTACAAATAAAAAAAAATCCTTTACTTGTTGCCCCCTATTCGGCTAATAGTATATATATATATATATATATATATATATATATATATATATTTTAAACAATTACAACTATAATTTATTGGCTAAATCGTAATTGGCCTTCCATCTGCGATGTCGTAACAAATAATTGAGATCGTAAATTAGGCTATCAATTGAATAAGGAGGTTGGTATTAATCGATTAAATTGACTTCTTGGCCCTAATGTAATTTGTCGAAATTGACAAATTGACAAGGCCCGAAGCTCGTTTCGACGTTCTTGTAGGCCAAATAAGTTCTAAAAAAAATACTGTCATCGTTTCAGTGAAAATTCAGAAACTGTACTGGAATCGTGTGTTACGTACAAAGAATTCAAGAAAATTAAGACATAAAAAGGCAAGATAAAATATTCCGGTATTGAAATATCGTAGCCAACAGCATAAGTTCTGTCGATTGTTTTCTTTGAACAAGGACCACATGAAATTGTATATGGAACAGTTTGTATATGTATAAAAAGTAGAAGCGGGTCAGGTGTGAGGAAATGATATCTTCGGTATCATTATTAATTTTGTAGCGTGACTGTGATGCTTCCATGCATGCACAATTACTTCTACCCACTAAAATATAGGAGTGAAAAGGACGGAATGCGTCTGTCAGTACACTTGTCCCACTCAGCGGCGAGTTTTTAGATGGCACATATGGCGAATGTCCACAATGAAATATCGCTTCGATTTGCATTTGGACAACCGACAATATACAGTTATGTAAGTGCAATGACTGTGGAATAAAGGGCCTCTACACTAACTATAGTTTATAAAATTTTAACAAGTACAAACAAAATCGCTTTAAAGCACGATATCCGCTCTATCGGAGAGATGTTGACATCGATGTTATAGAATATATTCAGAGGTTGTGTAAACACTAGAGGTTATCTTATTATGCAAAACGTGATAATCCAACAAGGTATTAAACTTATGTGAGTGTTACTTTTCCTAATTGTTTTTAAATTGTCTTTATTCATTTATTTTTAACAATATTTGCAAGTGTTACTCAGATAAGAAGTTTTTATAACTGATATTTTAATTTTTCTTTTTCAGCTACGTATTAAAAGTCGCCATTTACCTTTCTTAATATTATTTTTGCACTTCATATACACATGCAACGAATCATTATCATTCATTATCATATATAAATAAGCTTTGTCCATATAGAATAATATCTTTTAAATGGTGATAGAATTTTTCCAATCCGTGCTTTGGTTCCGGTTATTACACACAAACTCAAAAAAATTGCACTTTCTTTAAATACTATAATATAAAGATTTGTATCATCATTATTTTATTTACATTATAGCTGTGGAATTCCTTTGAAGTGAGGTAAACGTTAACATTAAGAATGACATATATGCTACGTCAATCTGTCTAAGGAAGGCGTCGAAGGAACAAATGATGATGTCATTCAGACACTAAGTTAAATGCACCTCCGCCATTAGTCGCACCCACTAAGTAACGGAGCAGAAACAGAAACGAACGGTAAACAAGTGATACAGCCTATCTTAATAGACAATAAGATCTGCACTCTGCACCGGTCGGCTATCGCAAATGGATTCGAAGATGTCGATGGATTTTATTACGTTATTTTACCGATCACCAGTCACTTGACCAAACACGAGCGAAGGTTGGGTATGAGTCACTTCGCCAGAAAAGCTGTGCGACCTTTGCTGCCCACTAAAACACCTTCAGCCACGTAGGCACTCAAAAATAATGATGAACAGCTTTATTTGGTTTGCTCGTAAAAATAATAAAACAAGGTGATAAGTTCAACGTACCAGAACTGTTTAATACTACAATTGCGTCACAGCTTTAGCAATTTTTTAGATTTTTTTTTATATAGAAATATTGTGTAAAAAATAATCATAATTTTTATATATAATAGCCGGGGCTACCCTAATATTGTCAAGCTTGTGAAGGCCTCAATGTTACGAACGTCAAGTGACGAACGCTTTCCATCAGATAGAAATTTCAGACGGCGGATGAATCAATAATGGATCTCATTAGTCCGCGCCATTTTCTTTCAAAAATCTAAGATACATATAACATTTAAGTGAAATCTAACTAAATCAGACCCCAAGCCCTAGCTTCAATCTGTATCTTGTCTTGTTGTATTTATCTAGTTTGCTTGTCTATTAGAACAGGTTCACTGCCTATCGCGTCGAACCAAATAGGCCACAGTGGAAAGTGGGTTTAGACGAGTTATCCGATTGCAACCTGTCACTACCTACCACATAAGGTTTATACGGTAATAAAATATTATTATCTTGTATATTATCCGACATTGTTATCATTGAATGTGTTGGAGTTATACTATGTCTTGTTTTCATTACATAGAATTATAATGTACAAGATAGGGTCACTTCTGTTGCCGCAAGAAAGGACAGGCTTGCCCAGGGAATACGCGGTCTCATAGAAGAATAGCCTCATAGAAGAGTAGTCTAGTCTCATAGTCTCATTTTTTATTTCTTTTCATCTGTTGAGTGAGATAAGCGCAACCTACTCTTTCTAAGGGTTAGTAATAAATTTGCAGCTCAACAACTATTCATAAATTCTAAACATTAAGCAGACCACCTGCATATTAACCAACAAAAATATACATGAACATTTAACTTACGTTTACTCGACTGCGGTGGTCACCTAAAAATAACTACCTACGAAAACTACCTTTACGTACGATTCAAACTGTTATTGGTGAATAAATGAAACTAATTTTACGGATTTATCGCGTTTATTTTTAAATTTAATTTTTATTCGTGAATTTTTAACTATTGCACTACCCGTGCAATCAAACGTTGGAATATAGCCTCTTAGTAAGTGGCAACGTTAAGATCATGAAATAAGAAAACTATTTCATTTTTATTCCATTAGACGCGATTGTTTGTACGGTTTATTTCTCTATTGTTCCATAATGAGATTCATCCGGATTACCTCATCATACATGATGTTGAGTGCATGAATAAATTAGCGTTGTAAATATCCCATTAGCTATTGCGAGGGCTAATCGTGTTTGTTTGTAACGAAAGATGTTATAATATTATCGGTTTTTGGAAACTTACGTTCTCGTATTGTGTATTATCCATGTATTAAGTTGTCCACTTCATACGGTTAGTTTCTTTTTTGAATTTTATGCATGTTATCAAAATATTAGCTTTTTTCGCATATTTTTATAATATATATATATAGCTGCTACCAGCATCTACGTCTGCGTAGAGGGGTGAAAATTTAGGGTTGTATGTATTTTTGTATGCTGTATTTAAAAAAATAAAAACAAAATAATATATAAAAATAAATTTAGGGGTGGACCACCCTTAACATTTAGGGGGATGAAAAATCGATGTCGTCGGATTCTCCACCCTAGCCGATATGCACACAAAATTTTACGAAAATCAGTCGAGCCGTTTCGGAGGAGTTCAATTACAAACACCGTAACACGAGAATTTTATATATTAGATATCTGCAGCTAATCACATTAATACTGTAAAAATTATAAAATCTCGAGAATACGCTATGTATAGCAAAAGCTAAAGGCAGAGATAGGTAAATCTACGGTCTAGACTAGAATTCCCCGTAGTTTCTATAAGTGAATCTGAATATAAACGTTTGGTCAGTTTTGTCTTTTCAATTAAAGTTATGAACGAGCTTCTCAGGATTACATTCCGATTTGTATACAATAAGACCGGTAGATTATGTAGAAATTATCGTTTTACTCGTCTTCCATTTGTAGTTGGTATTTGTAAAATAACATGATGAACAAATAAGTAATTTTCCAGTGAACAACGAAGATCAATATTTGCCGTAGACAAACTGAGCTGTGTTAACTATCGGTCATCGCTTATTGCTTCGGATGTCAGCTTGCATATCTCGGCAGTTTTATTTTTATTAAGACAAAGGCGGTACCAGAAACTTGCATTTAAAAATAAAAGCGATGGAATACGGAAGCGATGGCTGGAAAAAAGTGAATAGTTTCATTTTAAAAATGCGCAATATTCACTAAATGTAAGAAACCAACATCTCATCACAAAATTAAATTGCTTAATTCATATTTACTTTTCAATATCTTTATGATCGCCACTCTATTAATAACTATGATTTAACAACTTAGGCATAAGAGAAAACTGATCAATTTCACGTCTATATGTAACCAAGCGCAGACTTGGGGGAGGCGAGGGGGTTGTTACGGTCATCTGTTTCATGACTCGTTTTCTTTTCGTAGAATATAACGTTGGTTCTTATTTTACTCCTTGAAGAAGGTTGTACAGGGATAGAGTTTATAAATATTCTGGTAAATGGTTTATTATGGTATAAATGGTGAATGGTATAAACTGGTATAAAGAATACGCGGTATAAATAAATGGTATGGTTATGGTTAGACGGTGGCGAGTCGCGTACTGCTTCAAATTAGGCATCAAACGTACATATGTACGTTAGTGTAATGTGCCTATGATGCACAAAGTGACAATGTCGCTGTTCGGTTGCGTAACTCCGAACACTCCTACATAATTATTTTTTTGTCACAAGTTCAACTAATTTCAGTCCGATACATACAGATGCTTTTATATTTACAATGGTAGCGTAGATTTCATTTTCTAGCAACCCAAATCGTGCATCGTAGCACTCATAAAATCGTTTTAA